GTTACTGAATCCAAAGCCATTGAGGGAAATATCATTTAAGAACATGACAATAAACTCAAACAAATAGAATGTTCTCTCAGCAAGGCAAATGCAGTAGATTATGGGTTTGATATTTTTCTTAATCCAGACAAAGAACGCTCGCTGTGCAGGTACAATCTGGGTGTAGAAGAAGAGGTTAAGCCAGACAGAGGAGGTCAAACTAGTGTTCAGAGTGCAGAGTGCCACCAAACCTAAGATTTGAGAGAGCTTAGAGTTTTCTTGTAGTAGTTCAGAAAAGAGCATCACAGTGATTGATATCAAGTAAGCAATTGTACAGCAAATCAAGGACCACAGGAGAAACTTCAGAGGTTGCTTGATCCTTTCTGCATGAAGTGGACAGACCATGCAAAAGAAGTAAAATGCATTAGTCATGATGTTGAGAATAACAAGAGGTCCATTAATTAGGACACATGTGTGATAGTCCATCTTCATTCTGTTTGTTGTTTCCGTTTTTGTATCTTCCATCCTTGTAGTGCTCATACAAGTAAGTGAGGCACTCAAACTCTGTGCACTGAAATAAATGCGAGGTATTTGCATCATATGCAAATTGGAATATGAAAATAAAACATATTACTGTTAATGTTTTATCTTCATGCATTCATATTTTTTTACAGGGCTACTTGTGGTTGTGTGTACAAATGAGTTCTCCAAGCAGAATTATTGAAGTTTAGAAATCTAACACAACAGTTGGATAGAACATGAAGATCATGAAGGTAACAAATTTAAGCATTTGTAAGTTGGAGAATTTGTCACAATAAACATGACATGATGAATGAACAGCGAGAGATCTGTGTTACGTAGCTCGTGGAAATATGATTGTAATTTATTGAAGACACTGTAGTGACACTTTACTTAAACCCCCCTCAAAAAGCATTATATAAAACATTTAAAAATAGTGGATATTTTATGACGTTGAAGTGTCTATTTGTGTACAGTATTTGTCAACAATTGTAACTTCCGCAATGTATACATTATACATTAAAGCTACAGTTCACATACAGTATATTGTCTAAGTAAAGACAAAAATGGTTTAAATTATGCAGCTCATTTGAAAAAAAGAAAATAGTTAAATGAATGGATAAAAAGTACAGCTAACAAATACATTGCTATGGTTTGTATTTGTATTTTCAGAGTGTTCTTGGTTTGACCGTAGCTACTCCAGAAGTTATCATTATAAATTGTGTTCATGCAAAAGCAAAGCTACATTCAGCTTTACCTTTAAAACATGAACAGGTACAGTAATATTCCAAGTTTCAGGGGCAGCCTGCATTCATGTAGATTTATAAATATGCAATGATATGCAATTCACCTGAAGGTATATATCAAGTCATGATACATTGTGTAATTGTGACTGAAACCATCAAAAACAAAGATTAGTTAAAGTAAGACAATCAAAACCACGACAAAAACATGAACGTCGAACAAACTATATTCTCTCAACAAGCCAAATGCAGTAAATCTTGTAGACCACAGGTTGAAAAGTCCATTCTCATTTTTCACTCTGATGAAGACAAAGTAGTGCTGAAACGTTGGTCTGTTTGCACTATGAAAGGATGCAGATCAAGTGATATCTGTGTGCAGTGTGTTCCCATTCTTTTTCCCCTCTGAAGTCCTTGGTCTGAGAAGCACCTGATTCAGCTGCACATTGTGAGAAGATGTGCTGAAAATCCCTTTTCATCCATCTTCATTTTGTTTTCTGTTCCAGTGTCTTCTTCCCTTATAGTGTTCAGATTTCAACACTGTGAGGTACTACAACTCTGCTCAATGTAGCAAATCTGATGCATTTGCATCACAAATAAAAATATGAAAATAAAGCATGTTACTGTGAAATCACAATGAAATTGTGCGATTGAACTGTTCTGATTCAGTAAAAAAAGTTGCTTAAAGAGGCATTCTAGCAATAGAGTTGGGGAAGTCAGAGGAGACAGATAAAAAAAAAAGAATGGTCAGAATTGATGCTGCAGAGGATGAGTTATCCTGACTTTCATTAGTGTGCGTCACGCTCCCAAAACTCAGGATTCTACATCCCATAATGCAACAAGGATGTTTCATAAGACACCACTGCCTCTTATATGTCCACTTCAAACCCCACAACTCATGTCTGTAATGCAGACTCTGTTCAAAATAACCATAACATTTGATACAACTAAACCTCACACTATATAGAAATTAATTCACCCAAAACGACTGTCACACACCAAATAATCACAACGTCATTTGGCTATTAACAGTTAAAGTATTAGCTATTTCACCTGATGTCACCTGGCCAGAGTGCAGTTTCATATCATCTATCACTATGGCAACACCACACAGTGCTTTGAGAGCCCTCCAAACAGCAGCCGCCCTTTGCCTGAATATAGCCTGACCGATTCCCAGGTTGATAGTGGTGCCTGAAATGTACAGTGAGGTGACGGTGAAGGAGACAGAATAACTGAAGTAAAAGTCTGGGGCGAACATGTAGGCGAATGAATCTAAGAGATGGAAAGTGTCATAGAGGAAGTAGAGCACTCCTTGAGAGATCCCAGTGATGGTGACTCTCATCTGACTTTGAATCCTCGGTGTGTAGAAGCAGCTGCCACTCTGCGCCATGTTCCTCATGTGTCTAAACAGGTAGTGGGCTGTGGAAAAGCTAGAAACTGTCATGATACACAGACAGATCAGGATATGCACTTTGAAGATGAAGAAACAAACTTGGCTTGAGAAGCACACTTCATCAGTTCTATGTGCATACCCTGTACCGTTAATGTAAGTGAAGCGACTGAATACATCTGCAATATTCATGACGCTATTGAACAAAAAAAGGGTCCCATCGAGAAGCAAAGCCACGTAGATGACAGACCTGATGTTCCTCTTTACCCAGATGGAAAGAGCTCGATTTGCAGGGACAATCTGGATGTAGTAGAATAAATTCAGCCAAACATAACACATCATGCTGCTATACATAAAGTACAGCACAACCACCCACGATATGATCAACATTTCAAAGTTTTTCCTTTGCTTTAACACAAAATACATTAAAGGCAAAGAAGCACAATAAATAATTGAGCACCAGACAAGATATCCCAGAAGTGTCTTTAAAGGCTGCTTGAGTTTTTGTCTGCTGTGCAATGGGAAGATCAAGCACCACGCATAGAAGATGTTCGCAGTGAGGCTGAGGAAGATAAGAAGACTGTTGATCCATATAAAAGCCTGCTCACCAAGATGAAGGGCTTGACGTGCCATTGGTGGTTTAGAAAAGTCAAAATATCAAAATGTCATTGTTCCTCTTTGTGTGTGTTCTGGTCTCTTCTTCACATGATCCTTTTTAAGAGATCTTACAGGAAACCAATGTAAATGGACTACAACAGTCATATACATTATGTAAACAACTGCACCCACAAAGCCAAGAATATCTGTGTAGCATGTATGGAATACATCTACATAAGTTAAAAAAAAAGAGTCCTGAAATTAGCACGCTCTGCTTACTAGCGTCTCTAAAGCTCACGTGTTATTGTGTTGCATCTTCTTTGTTTAATACATAAACCTACTGTCTTGTTGTTGGACACTGTGGTAGTGCAGTGTGTAATGTAGTGTTTACATTGCTGGCTTCACTCAACACTGATTTTTATTGAAACATGCTTGTTATAGATGTAGAAAACTGTAATTATTATTGTAGCAGTTTCTGAACCACATCCACATATGTTTTCACAAAGAACGATGAAACAATTGGTCAAAAAACATGATTGAGGACATCACTTGGTGTGTTACATTGAACTGAAATGGGAACACAGCCTGTGACAGTTGCATAATCTTAGTTTAACAGTGTTAATGATATTTGCTAAAGTGTATATCAGTCAATAGGCCACAGCAGACATTTTTGCTTGTCATTGTACGAAAAGCACAACTGCAGTTTTTATAACATTAGCACCCGGAAAGGAATTCAGGCATCATTAAATTTTACTACTGTGTTTTTCCTGCTGCCACATGTTACAATGCCTTCTGTGTAAATCACCTATGCTCCAAGAAAAAACAAAAAAACCAAAAAAAAACCCAACATAACATAAGAAACAACAGCATTCTGAATGATTTACATTTTCATTAGAACAATGGCCTTTTTATGTCACGCTTTGGATTCAGACTCATTCAATTTAGATATAACTATAAGTACTATATATTTAAGAGGACATCAGACAGATCGTATAGACATGTATTAATGTTTTCTTTTTAGGTAAACTTTACCATTGCATGAGTCGTCAAAGTATCCAAATGAAGTGGTGAGGCAAATGTTGCTTAACCAGGGATTGTACGTCAACCTACAGGAAACCAACTTCAGTGGACCATGTAGAGTTCATGTAAAGAACTTTATCCACAAAGGAGGAAATATATGAACATAGAACATATTTTATCTTTGTACAAATGAGGGATTCTTTTTTTCATTTCCTGTATTTGGAACAAACTGCCACAAAATACCAGAAGAGACACAAAACACAAAAGGCATCGAAATTTCAAGCCAGGCTTGAGTAACCACACTGTCTGTAATGTAACAGCCAGAGCTTTCATGTAGTTACCTAAGTATTCAACAAGTCCTCCAGTGCCATAATATCCAGCTCTAAGTACAGACTGCTATGACTGGGATTTAATAGTAAAATATGAAATTAAATAAGATATGAATGCCAATCCTTACTGAAGCTTTAGATATCCTACCCTGTACTCAGTGTAGTTTCATATAATTTCAAAACATGGTTTGACAAAATTAAATTTTAAGACAAGATCCACATATTAGTCTCTTCTTGTTGCTTTCAACTGCATTCTTCATCATAACATATGGGATATGATAACTTGACCACCTGAGTATATTACCACCATTTCATACCCGCAGTGACAACTGAGCTATCTCCACGACAACGACAAAAAAAGAAAAATCAAAGATAATTTAGTCAGAGACAAAATACTGTGCAATATTTTTATTTAAATAAGCACGTCTGACTAAAACGCCAGAATAAACCGATCATAACACAAAGTAAAGAAAATACTCACATAAAAATAACACTCCGTATCAGAAATAGCTAATTATGATACATCTTTACATTCAAACACTCGTTGACAGTTATGATCAATCTGGTATACAGATAATTATTCCTCACACAATTCTCACAAATACCAAAACTTACACACTTGCTTGCTCTCTCTCTCTCTCTCACACACACACACACACACACACACACACACACATACATGCATGCATGCATGCACACACACATTTAAAGCCACAGGTTTATCCCTCTAAAGTCTGTCAGTGTGTATGAGTGAGATATTCATGATGCTACATGTCAAGGATTTAGACATACAGGGAATAAATAAACGTTGGCGTGAGATTACAAAGTTGTTCCTCAGTTTACGTTGGGTGTAAAACTGAACTCTGTGCAACCTTCAGTGGTTTGTTATTGTCATATTTCCAAATCACAGCAGTGGCACACACATATTCATATTTCAGCACTTAACAGAGCACACAGTATCAATGTTTTTGCATGTCCTAATCTAGTTGCTACACATCATATGTAGTTTACATTACTGTTGTTTTTTTTGTATCCAAATGTGTTTTCACACATTCCAGGCAGCCAGTATGTCACATTCATTTCTGTGAGCACAGTGGGTGAACACTATCTTTTCTGCTTTTATCTATCATTAAGCATTAATGCAATGCAGGTTTTTTTTCAAGGTAATCTGCACTGTGTTTAGGCATATTTACTGTAATGAATGACCAACCTTAAGCACGTTTCAAGCGTCTGCAAATGGTTTTTCATCATACAGTGAAGCAAATGAGAATCAGTGGCTGCCTGGAAGGCAGGAAAAACACATTACACAATCTTTAACACCACAGTGGCAATGTAAAGTACATGCGAGTTGAAGTAAATGAAGTATATTATGCAAAAGTATTGAAATAGTCACACAAGAACACATTTTACTTGCAAAAATGTGTACTTACATAAAATGCAGACCCGCACAGACACGCGCACACAGGAATACACAAACATTTACATCATTATTGTGAAGCCCTGAATGTATATGGTCAAATGGGTTTTTCAAAGACAGTGAGGCTCACACATTAGCATTGTCACCGTGACTGTAAACCATCATGACACATCACAATTGTCAGTATAAGTGATGGTAAGTTTCAGTGTGTGTGTGTGTGTGTGTGTGTGTGTGTGTACGTGTGTGTTCAAGGTGGGGCAGTTAGAAGTAGTCTCGTCTTCGTGAATCGTCACTAATGAAGGAGGGGTTCCACTGGGCAGGGTAAATGCATGAGTGGCGAGAGCCCGGCAGACCTGTGAATGGATACAGACCATTTCTGTCTAGGTCTGAGTTACGTAACGCAGGCTGAGGGAATAAGCACAGAGAGAGAGAGAGAGAGAGAGCGAGAGATAAAATTAATGCAACACGTTTTTAATGTTTCCTCTTGTCTAGCATGGTGATTTATCAGTTGGATCTAAACACACAAAAACTAAACCCAAACTTGATGCATGACAGACAAACCTAGGAAAGGTAGACAAATAAGAGGTGTGTTATATGTCTCCTTACAGAGTAGTAAATGTCAGTCATCTGCAGCAGGTTCTTGGTGCTGCCGTTCTCTTGCATCTCTATGGTCTCTCTGCCCCACTCCATGGATATTCGGTTATTTTTTGGGAAGTCTGCATAAGGGGACATCTGCAGGTCTCCACTCTTGAAGATGATCTTGTTGATGTCATTCTTATCTTTCCTGGGAGACCAAACATTTAAAAAAAGTTAAACCATTGCCAGAGTTTACCAAAACAGTTTTCTTCATTAAACCATCCATAGTGAGAATTTTTTTTTTTTTTAAGTAAATATTCTGCCAATAAATGATCGTAATTGTCCAGGATTACTTGTTTCTGTATTTTTTAATCATCAACTTGAAACAAGGTAGAGGGAGGTAGAGTATACTGGTATAAAGAAATTGTCAGTTCATTTAACAAGTTGAAATAAATAGCAAAATGAAGACAGTGTTTTATGCTATCAATATCAGCAGTCTTACTTGCAGCAGGTGACAATGAGAGCGATGATGAGGATGAGGAGCAGGGCGCCCCCTGCAGGTGCAACCACGACTGCAATCAGCTTGTAAACTGCAACATCAAATATCAATGTATTAAATTCAACACTTAAAAAACACATTTAAAGATCACAATAGGAAATAATTGAATCTCCCCATTAAAGCTGATTAATATTGGTCTATTAAGGATTTTTACAGTCACTTACAATTTGCACAGTTGAATCCTCCAAAACCAAACATACACCTGAAAAGAAGAGACAGAATCTGCAGTGAGAAAGTGAACTTAAATCTTTCAGTGTCACCTGATCGATACTGAAAGGAAAAGAAAATTGAAAATTGAAAGTTGAACTTACGGAACACAGGTGCCATTTTCCAGCTTGTAGCCATCCCCACATTCTGTAACAAAACATTTTGCTCAGAGAAGGTCCGATTTCACAGTTTAGAAGCAGTTAAAACGCCAAAACTGTTTCTCTATTATTCAGTCTTCTTAATTTGGATGAATTTCATGTGAAATTTAGAAGAATCTGCTGTCTTTCAGTCAGCACGGAAAAGCTTACTTGACTGTCACCTTGTTTTAAAGTATAACAAATGATATCTGGTTTATTATTTTGATTACTTTTGGTCATTCCTGTATTTTGCACTTACACTAGGTAGCTGGATAGATTTGATAGGCTTTGTGTCTCAGCGGAAACAAAAAGAGAGAAAGAGCTTACCTAGGCAGGACAAGTCTTCAGGATTGTGTTTGTAGTATCCTTGAAGACACTGGCAGTAGGCTGTGCCACTGCTGTCTGTGCAGGTGGAGCGCTCTGTATCACACTGAGTCTTCTTAGCCACACACAGACTCTCCACTGGAACACAGTGTGGACAGAATTAGTCACCAAAGTAAAAAGACAGGACACTGATCCTGACCTGGATAACACAAGAAGTCCAAGAGGTTAGAAAACATTTGTTTCCCTCAATTCACCATCAGGTGAGAATTTATTAATCTACCGTTCGGGTTCAAACCAACCATCATACATGTGAGCTCATAGAAATCTTATTGCATATTAAAGTATTTTATAGTATCGCACTGTTGTCCTTTGATGTGCTTAAAGGATTCCTGCCTAATATTTTCACAAATGTATCATGGTACATTTCACATGAGTATTTACAGCTGCATTCTGCCTTTAAGTGGCTGTAAAAATATTATTTACTTTTGATGGTGACCCCTCAATGTTTACAGGACATTTAGTCAAAAACTGTATTAAATTTGAAAGAAATGAGCACGATTATGTTGATTACAATGTGGCTTTGGCTATTATATTTACCGTCATAAGTGAGCTGGTGGTGCAGGACCATTCGGCAGTGGGCCACCGAGGAGCTGCAGTTGCTGAGGGACATCTTGATGCTGTTGTAGACTTCTGCACTCGTCACATCACTGGAGATGGAAAACATGTTGATAACTAAGATACGAATCCCGTCCTCCTCTCTGTGGGGAGAAGTTCAAACTGTCAGTACAGAGGTCTACACTGAAAAAAAATATCTATGTTGCATCATTTACTCTAAATATATTGCAATTCTGACACAAAGAAATGAGCTTTTGTCTCATATAACTATGTGTTGCTTTTGTGATTTTGAAAATATATCAACAAAATACTGCGAAAGTACATTAATGGAATGGTTTAGTGATTAGATAGTGACGGCAAGAACGTACTTCTTACTCAGAGTTGAGCGGCTGTAACCTTGAAGGACTGACAATGAGGCATTGAGCTGCAGTGAAGACAGGAAAGGAGGGTGTATCAGATATAATACATATAAGCCTAAGAATTGTTTTCTCAGAAATGAGCAGAGTAGATGCAGCGATGTGGACCGGCTCTCACCAGCTGAATAATCTCTCTCTGGATCTCATGCGTGGTGGTGCTCTTGAAGGTAACAGGGTCATGTGGCGGTCTGTTAACACTGAAAATTCCCAGAAATGTCTTTGCTGTAGTAGGGAAAAAAATTACAATAAGGCCTTTAAGAAAACAACTCAACTAGAAAAATAATAATTATGTTATATTTATATATACAGGGATCTTACCTCTGGTGCAGTTGTGTCCCTCCTCGAGGTCGTAGCCGAGCGGGCATTCACAGCTGAAGGAGCCTCGTGTGTTCACGCACCTGGAGCAAGGTGGGCAGGGGTCCCTCATACATTCATCAATATCTGGACACACAGTACATAAAGGTTATTACAATCTTACATTTAAAAGGTTCGTTACTGAATCCATAAACCTCAAACCTGATCTTAACCTTCGGCACGATCACTCAGTATGCAACACAATTAAACACCAAACTTGAGGTACAGAAGCATGCATATTGACAGTGCAGTTATCAAACAGAAGCTCTGACAGCGACAGGTGTACTGATGCCCTTCATAGCTCACACACATCCCACCGTTCATACAAGGGTTTGACACACAGGGGTTTCCTGGAGTTCAGACAGGAGAGCAGGCGTTTTACTATGAACTCGTATAAAAGTTAGGTGGTTTCTCATCATCATCATTAGGTAATTGTTTATTAAGCACATTTTCACACCTGACCTAATTTCAGTCTTTTCCAGTTTTTGTGATAGGTGCGATTTTTTCTGCTTTGTTCCCAGTACTGCACTCATACAATCAAGTAAAACGATGACTGAGGCATAATCAGCATCATTTCAATTTACACATTTGAGGATTTCCCACAATTACTTGAAAATTTATCAACTACAAGGTAGAACCTTCTTCAATCCAGAGACAAACACATCTCTGGTAATTTAAATACTTACTTAAATACTGAAAAACTGAAGCACTGAACTTGAATTTAGATGCTTTGGAGCTTAAAAGTTCAGATCATTCTTAGACATTATCACACTCATTATGCAAGACATCAACTAAAGATATAATCTGCCTAAATGATTTGAAAGTCCCATAGATTACAATCCACTATTCTATTAATTCATTTTTGTGAATTCTCAATAACTTTATACCTTATAAAGCCTAATGAAAGAAAATGATAGTTCACATTTGTGCATCCGAGTTTTGCATTTACACTGAGTTCAGCTTTCACAGTTCTGTGTCTGTCAGTGAATGATACAGAGCATAAAAGTCTTTTTAAAAGAAGGTATTAGTGAGCATGAAGAGCAATAGTCACAAGATACATTCTTGTTTTGAAAGCTACATGTCAAAGATTGCTATATACAGTGAAAGAAAGGTGTGAACTCACTTGGTGGTGGTGGTGATGCTTTAGTGGGCTGGATGTCAGTGGGTGATGTTGTTACTACAAGCTCTGTGGTTCCCCTGTCTGTCTGTTTCCCGGTGGTGTGCAGAACTTCTGTACTCCTGGTCGGGGTGCTGTGGGTGTAGGTGGTGGTGATGTACTGGCTAGGAGATGTGGAAACTCCCAGAGAGCCTGTGCTTGTTTCTGTCTGCAGGGTCATGACGTTTGTGGGGTTGGCAATTCTGGTTGAGGGGCCCTGGGTTTGGCTTGGTGACACATGGTGAGTTGGGTGCACTGCAGAGGTCTGCAGGGCCGGAGTGGAGGCTGTGGTGGAGGGTGTAGTGTATGGGAAGGTGGCCTCGGTATGTAACTCTGAAGTCGAGCTGCTGGTGGTGGTGCTGCTGAACCTGGAGGAACCAGGTTAGGGTGGAAAGAGGAGGGGTGTTTGGGGGTGGGGGGTGGTGGGGTGGTGGTGGTAGTGATGGTGGTGGTGGTGGTGGTGGTGGTGGTGGTGGAGGCAGTGGCTTTGAAAGTTTCTTTCTCAGTTATCTGTGAGCTGTTAAAGAGAAAATAAACCAGTCAAGTCTCTCACAGACTTCTGACAAGAACTGAAAAGAAAAGATAAGAACCATTTTCATCTTTACAGCTTTGGTTGGTTCACCTCAGGATCACTCAGCGTAGTGAAGGCAATGATGGAAGCTTATTAAATCTCTCAGAAACATGTTGCATTTCTTTAAAGTTTTAATAGAGCTGTATATTTCTGTCAAAATCATGTTTTCTACTATAAACTATATTTCAAAAAAAAGATAACATATTAAATAACAATATTGACAAATCCAACTCTCTGTTGCTGTGCCTTTGCAACAGCCAAGTATCTGTCCTTGAACCATTAATTTAACCATTAATAAAGCACAAAAATTAATAAACAATACAATGTACCTTTCTGTAACAGGAACAGGTGTGGTGGTGAGGAAGAGCTCAGTGACCAGCACTGGAGTGTCTGTCAGAAAGTTGTCCATTTCAGATGTATTGCTACTGACTGTAGGGGGCGCTGTGGTCAGACCCAAGTCTGTGCTTTCCTCTCTGGTCTGGGATGACAGCCCCTCGGTGCCCTCTTGGTTCTGAGTGCTGGAGCTGTGGCCGGCAGTGGAAGACTCGGTGGAGGTTCCAACATCGGAAACTGCGTCCAGGTCTGTCCCTGAGATGTTGGTAGGACCTCTTGCAGCTGAGGTGACAGGAGGTGTGGAAGAAACCAACACTTCAGATTGTTCAGTGCTGAGCTCCGTCACTCTGAGAGGTGGTGTCGAGTCAGAGGTCTCCTCAGACGCTGAGGTATGTTGATACTGCGTGGCATTAGGTGGTCCAGTTAAACTCTGGGTTCCTCTGGACCCCCGCGGGCTCCCAGTCTCTGGAAACATCCCCTTGAAGGAGTTGGTCATGTGCCGGTCTGTTGTTTCCCTGCTGTCAGTCCTTGTGGATGGAGCACTGTGGGTGTAGTCCTCAGTCCCTGTAGCCCTAGCAGGGATACCCCAGGTGGAGGGGGGCTGATGAGAGTTGGATTCCTCTGTAAATGCAGAGGAGGTGCTGTTGCTTGAGGAGGAGGTGACAGATAGAAGGGTCCTCTCCCCGGCTCGGCTGATGGTGGTGGAAGTGTAGGTGCTGTCGGTGTGAACGTCTGTCTGCGACGCCAAGGAAGTGGCGTCTCCCAGCCACAGAGTGCTGTCTGGACTGTCCTGGGGAAGCCTTGCGTCCTCTGTCAACATCCAGGACCTGGCCTCCCAGGACACAGGATGGGAGACATCTGGCACCTGGTCTGTGTTAACAAATTCCTTCCAGTCCCTGCTGCTGCTGCTTATGCCGCTACTGCTGCTGCTGCTACTGCTGCTGCTGCCGCTACTGCTGCTGCTGCTGCTGATGCTGCTGCTGCTGATACTGCTGCTGCTGCTGCTGCTGCTGCTGCTGCTGCTGCTGCTGCTGCTGCTGCTGCTGCTACTGCTGCTGCTGATGCTGCTGCTGCTGCTGCTACTGCTGCTTCTACTGCTGCTGCTACTGCTACTGCTGCTACTGCTGCTGCTGCTACTGGCCTCGGTGGTGGCTACAACAAGGGTGGATGTGAGCGGCTCAGTAGACAGACTGGTAGTCTCTAGTGATCCATTGCTTTTTTCTGTGAAGGTTTGTGTCTGCTCAGTGTCTGTGGAAAAAGAAAATAATGTATCGTATGATTAATAACTAACATTCACATTCAAACATTCGTCTCACAGTATAAGTACTGGAAAATTAGTCAATTTATTGATTAGGCAACTGACACAAAATCCTTTAAAAGTTGTTTTAGTCAATTATTAATCAAGCAAAAATGGAATTTGCTGCTTCCAGCTTCTCAACTGTGATGATTTAATGCCTACTGTTTCACATAGTATAAAATTATTTTACTTAACACAACACAACAAAACACATAACCACTGACAATAATTGTTACCTGCAGCCCTACACAGTATAATGATAATTCCACACTCAAGAAATCAGACATCCTTCAGCTTTGCTTTAACTTTTAGTGAAATAGACTTTTTGTCTTGCCTTCCTCTAGTATTGGAATGCCAGTACCAGGCATCCACACTTCTAATAATTGAATCAGGGTCTCCTTGACAACTGGGCTGACAGGCAGTTTTTCAAACAAGACATGTTGAAACCAATATTCATCTTCTGGCTGTTTTTTCTTAACTTTCTTGAAATTACAAACTGTCAACATATTGTACTTGACTTCCATTATGCTGTGGCCACCAGAGGGTGCTCACCAGAGTGTCGGGCCTGTTCAGCCTGCAGAAACTGGGAAGATGCTGTAAGAAGTGCTGCAGCTTGCAGCAGGGGCAATAATTTTGGGTGGAGAACAACTGGCAGCCGGGCTCGCCTACTCTAACAAAGGCTTTAAGTCCTAAATATGGTGGTGACGGTCTCCGCTGGGAATCAGCCATTTCCTTCCTAAAGCTGAGTGAGCACAAGGCACTGGCAGAAAACTGTCACCATGGATCTAGGCGTGTATTCATGTTCATTGTTTGTGGAGTGGTTTTTTTTTTTCAGTCTGGCTCACAATTGTTGTCATATAAACTACGTACACAGTACCAGAAGTGAAATGTCAAGAAAAGAATGATGTTACAGAGTAGGGATTGTTGCTTTAGACATATTTTTGTTGGTATTTTGCCTTTTGACATTTGACAGTAGAGATAGACTTGAGAGAGCCAGGGGGGGCAAAATGCAACAAAGGTGCCCAGCTAGAATCAGTCAATTAGATGGCATTAATCTTAGGCCATGAGTTTAATTGTTTTTAACTCATTATTTTAAAACTGCATTGATTATTTTTTGTTCACTTGGGGGGAGACGAACAAACTGAAAACACAACACTGACATATGCTATCACTTTTTAAATTGATTATGTTGAATGACTTTGCATACTGTTGCCTATTAACACCTTCAGCAGAGGTAACTTTAGCTATCATTTGGAGTCATGTTTATGGCCATATGACTAATTTTAAGGCCAATATTTACTCTCCTTTTAGCTCTGTTTTGGTATCCACCAAATCCTTCGTAAAATATGTTGTTTTTTAGCTTCTAAATGTTGCACTATGTTTACAAGCTATTTCATAACTTTGTCCCTCCACTGTTTGGTGCCAAGCAGGTAGCGTACAGAGGGTTTATCTAACTTTTTGTTAAAAAAAAAGCTGCATGCTGCAACTTGAAACAAGGATGATGAGAACAGTGAGAGTGAATCTACAGTAGAGTTGTGGCCGTAAAACCAAAGCAATGAGCTGAAAGATGCTAGAACTCTGTGGAGCTGAGGGAACTGCAGAAATAAGAATTATTAATTAATTGACAATTATCAGTGGGTTCGTCGCTACAAGCATTTCATATTACAGAAAGTCATATGATACATTGTTGACATAAAGATATTAGTAAGTGCAGCTTTAGATTACATAACTAGTGAGAACGTGATGGGAGAAGTCTGTGTGTGTGTGTGTGTGTGTGTGTGTGTGTGTGTGTGTGTGTGTGTTTGTGTGTGTGTGTGTGTGTGTGTGTGTGTGTTTGTGTGTGGGTGTGAGGTCTTTCTCCAAACTAAAAGGTTTTTTTGTCTCTGCCTGTCCCTGATGCTGTGCTGTCTGACAGCCTGCTAACTGGCTGGTCTCCAGCAGGCCAGGACTGGAACAACACCACTCTGTGGATGAGCATCGGTGCTGGACAGCATCCTGACAGCCAACACACAGTTCATCCAAAACCAATGGAGGGGAGAGTTCAACTGCATAACAGCCTGTCTACTGGGAGTCTATGGGGAGAACTGGGCCACCAGACTCTATTTTTCTCTCTCACTTCCTCTGCATGTGTCTCTCTCATTATTTCATTTTCTCTCTCTGGATCCAGTCCGGGCAGCAAAACTCAGACTGGAACGTGGTGTTGGCAACAAGTGAAGGACACTCCCAGATTCTCTGCTGTTTATCGCTCAGCTCTCAACTGTTAACACAGTTGTCACTGTGGTTTTTCACATCTGTTACACTTTAGAAACGCCGTGGCTTGCATGTTAATTTGGGTATATGCAGCATGTTCAGCATTATAATGAGCATAGGCAATAGTATGATACAGCAGTGGTGTGAATAGATTGACTGATATTAAACAGCCAACAGGCCAAATAGGTAATTTGTTGCTGAGGACTCAACATTTGGTACCTGACTATCGTCAGGTACCAAATGTTGAGCTGAGTTTGAGATTCACAGCTCAGTTTGTGGGCTTGTCACCAGATGACTGTGACCTGAATGAGGAAAGTGAATCATTTTCACTTGTCATTCCTCAGCAGCCTCTACGCCTTTAAGCAAAGCATTTGGCCTTCACATTGTTTCAGTGGATTTGTGTTGGGCAGCCCCCAGAGTGACTGTGTGTAACTGTATGAATCATATGAATCAACCAGGGTGTTGATGGAAATGACCAAAATCAAGTCAAGCCCACATTGGACAAATAAATGAATCATCTTCATAATGCCCAGCAGCCTGCCTGAAAGAAAATAAGTTATCACTGACATTGCTGTTAAACGTTAAACTGTTAATGTTAAACTAAGTTCAGACTGTGCCTTAAGTTTAAGGCATGCATTGATGAAAAAGCAGCCAAATTGCTCTAATTAATACAAGTATATCACTAAAATGAATGAAATATAGCATCAGCATGTAGTGCAGCATGTGATAAGTTTATAGTCTCGCCAAGTTGGGGACATTTTAATTTCAATATAATAGATTTAACTACTTTTTGCACGATTTTATTTTAATGTTTAGGGCAGGTATACAGTATTCTATACGGTGACCACCTGGTGAATAGTAGCATTAGTAGTCCAGTGCATATTAATAATGCTAATGGTATGTTTATAATAAGAGAAGAATCTGACAGCAATTCCATTTTTGTAATTTTGAGGCTACAAGAGATTTGAGCCATAAAACTGTCTCAAAAAACCCACAAAAATCTAAAACCTATTGACGTATGACCACAATGACTCTCCTAAAAGATACATCATCAATTAAAGCGCTTTACTCCTCTGAGGTTTTCTCCTTAATTGCTTCAAGACTATACCACTACGGTGTTGGGATGTTACGAGACACGTTCTCCTGAAACCACAGGCATTATCTGTGAATATGGCTTCTACCTTAAACAACTTACAAGCTTTCCACCTATAGCTTGATGGTTGATATTGGACATTGTGCACAGAACACTGGGCTTTAAATCCCATTCAAAGCTCTGGAGTTGTGAGGGGAAAATGTGTGTGTGGTTCAGATGTGGTTTCCCCTCGTCCCTCTGCACTAAATGTACTAAAATAGTTTAGCTGCAGGTTGTTTTTTTTGTGTGTGAGCAACATCTCTATTAAGTCAAAATACCACAGTCTCTTTCTAACATGTCTACTTCTCTTCATGCCCCTCAACTTGCTTATGATCGGTATACAGAATAATTATAAAGGAAAACATTGTGGTTTTTACCTGGATTATCAGTGGACTCTTGTGAACCCCACTGCCCCCTTTGCTGCACATGTAGTAAGACTAACCATGCAACACTGTTGTGACTCCATACACCTTATCACCTGCATGAGCTGCTGAACAAACATCAAGACTGTCTGTGGCAACAGCAGCAGCTCAGCTTGAACAGGAAAGTAGCAAAGCGGGTTAAGTGTTAAGTGAGATTGGATTTAGATAGATTATATAATGATAGGAGTGATAAATTCATGATTGACTGAGTGTTAGTGGTTTCATCAAACTAGGTGAATGGGTCTGAGCTGAAAACTGATGAACCACATTTATTGACCAAGCTAACTGTTGCTGTTTTAAGGGGTAGGAAATTTTCAAAAATCAAAGTAAAATGTCTTAAGGCGAGTTTACTCTCCTCTTTTTAGAAACACAGTTGTGAACATACAGTATAAGCCTGAAAACCCTTTTGCACTGACAAAGAACTGAAGCAGTGTTAGTGTTAGTAAAGGAAAATTAATCTATTGAAATTATTGTGATTAACAATTAACACTGGTTCCTGCTTCGCAAATGTAAATATGAGCTGATTTTCCTATTTTCCTCTTTTGGGGGTTTTGAACAGTTGAACAGTCAACAGTCAATCAGTCTGAATGTCAACTCTGACTTTGGAAAATTATGATGTGCATTTTTTTATTAGTACCAATAATTTGCAGACCAAGCAATTAATCAATCAATCAGGCAGATAATAAATACCATCTACAATGGAAATAATTAATTACAGCTCTATAATGATGCAAACAAATCAGAAATAGCATTGTACTTGTTTCGTGGCACTGCATCTATGCATGAGCTGAATTCATTTTGACATGCAGACACTGGCAGATTGATTTCATATAGCTTTTTTTTATTAATAATTTTTAATTGAGAGATGATCGCTATCCCACACTAAATGTTGATACATCTCCAACTGTTATCATTGATGAGCTTTGCTGATGTATTTCTGTACTAACCAGCTACTGATCATTTTAACAGGATGAAAATGAAGTGTGTCTACATTTACAGAGCCTTTACTTTAAAGTGGAGAGCCATTCTCACACAGGATAGATGGGGACGACTGCACACTGGACTAACATTTTGTCTATAACGTTGCACTTGCCATTGCAGGCCTCGGTGACAGTGATCTTACCGAAGCTTCCAACAGTAGCAGTGTGTGTCTCAGCGGAGTGTGTGAGCAGGAGGTTCCTCTGTGATGGTGATAAACTCTCGCTGGAGTATGAAGTTGAAGTTGCATTGTTTTCCATGTTACTGGGTTCATCTGTGGCAGTTGAAGAATAAAATCCTGCCGTTTCGGGATCCGAGCTGTTGTTACTGGGGGTCCCTGTCCCGAGGGCCCCCGGCAGACCCAACAGGAGGACCGACAGAGACAGCCCGAGGACGTGATTCAAAAACCACGTTTCCATGCTTTTCAAGACCCCAAAACGGTCGCCGATAGTTTCCGTAAAGTCGAGTGAATGCCGGGGAGGTCTCCCGGGGACACCATGGGAGAAGCACTTCAGCTTTTAGTGAAGTTTCATATGAAATAAATAAATCCTGGTACAGGTCCGGAGGAGAACCGCAACTCGGACGGCGGGGAACGGAAGATAACAGAGTGGAGGCAGCAGCCTGTTATCACAGCGGAGGAGCCCGGGCTCCTCCCCCTTCCGCGCGCGCGCACACACACACACAGACAGGCACACACACAGACAGGCACACACACAGACAGGCACACACACAGACACACACACACACACACACACACACACACACACACACACACACACACACACACACACACACACACACACACACACACACACACACACTACCGTTATTCAACCCAGTAGCTTCCTTTGCTGCCTTCAAGTGTTGTCGTTAAAAAAGTCGAAACACTCCTTTTTCAGCCATGAGAAGCTGATGACCAATTAAACAATACACCGCCACACTGCATTGATTAATCCCTCTACTCTGGATCATATGGTACCGGTAAAATTGGTGGTATCATGGTATCAAAGTGAGGTGGTATCATTAAGAGAAATAAAGTTTCTGAGCATGTAAAGCCTGTGACTTGACTTACAATTATCACGTTCTGTGGAAAAAGTCCTTATATTAATGTTTATGTCCTAAAGTCGATTTACTTTGGTACAATTAAGGAATAAGGATTTTCATTTTTCTGGTGGGAATAGATGTCCCTCTAGAATAACCCAGGTGTTCATAATATACTGGAGCCAGGCTGATGCACTGGACATATTGTGTATTTCAAGCCATCACCCCTGAACTGAAGTTCATATATTAGTTTTAACAATTCAGGTTTGTCTCCATGAGAAATGCCAAGGATGGTGTGAAAAGTAGCTTCAGAAAACCACAGATCAACATCTCTACTGTTGAGAACTATGCCCAAACCAATTTCTCATACAGACTGAGTCATCAAGGAAAAAGGTACCAGGATCTTTAGATTATGAGCCTGTTGGTAGGTTGCTACTCTGATAAAATGTTAAGAGGAAGTGGTTTTCACAGCTTTGCTGTTACACTGCAAGAACAGTAACTCTTTTAAAGCACACAGCAAACAAAGTTCACCCAAACAATATGACCTTGCAGTAAGCTATGAATGAATTACTGAATTGTTTTTAAAACAATGAAATACTGTCTCCAAATCACTTCTTCCTTCTTATAAAACCAAAAGCTAAAGAGAAGTGCAGTACCATGTATGTCTTATTTTGAAAATCGTACTTGAATATCAAATGGCACTGAAGTTTGATATTCTTAGTTACTTCTAAATTATTGTGGGTCTGCAAGAAGACAAACGTCACCTCTGAAATTGGGAAAGCAAAATAACCTGAGCAAAATTGCTTAACCAACGATTAACTGCAGACATGCAAAACTGAGAATACATATTTTAATGAAACCTTTGTGTCACAATTACACAGGATATTTATGCTGCCTGAGCACCACGGTGGCTGGACCTCTTAGAAGTGACCCAGTGGTAGAGAAATCTGACAATGAAAACTTCAAACAGTGGAGAGTTTCACAGATTGTGATATTTCAGTCAAAGTTAAAGCCATAAGACAAGATAAACAATTTCTACTTCAGTTTACTTTATGGAAGACTTTATGGAAAACGACCAACTCCAGCTACATTCAGTCCTCAGACATCTCTCTTATTCTCTCACACAAGGACGCACACTTTGTTAAACTCTAGAAAAAGTTCAGATTTCCTCCAACCACCACAAAAAAATGATCAGAGCCAATGAATGTCTCTGTTAAAACAAATGTGTACAGAATGTGGCCCATAGGGCAACATGAGACAGTTTGAGGCAGAAAATGTGTTTTCAGGTCATCAGGTACAACATATAACGTAAAATTGACACTGTGTTTAATTCAGTCAGTGGAGCGGTGGTTGTACCATCTTGTCAGCTCTGATGAATGAGGATTGGTGATAGCGGTGACGAGAGGCAAAGTCAGCATTTTCCTCTGTCAGCTGCCTGGTCTTCAGCCTGACCCTGGACAGAGAGGGTGTCACTATAATCTCATCCCTGGGAGATCCTTTTCCCCTGAAAGACAGGTAAACAGTATGGAGAAATAGGTTTTGGGTGATAGAGTGACATGGGAAATTACCATGTAAATGAAAAAAAAAAAAATTTCAGGCAAAATTTCTTATCTTATGTTTCATGACTTGACGAGAACCAATGGATTATGACAATTACTTTAGTCTGTGCATTAACAATGATCTAGACAATCATCAAAAGATTTTATTTAACCGTCACTCACTCATTCTTATAAACTGATTCCTGACTGACCATTTGGTAACATATCAACTGCACAATACCTGCAAATGTTATTCAGTGTTGATTTGAGCCATGTGAAAAAGCTGAATCGAGCTGCAATACCTGCAAATAAATCAAAAACTATTAGTTTTTTTGCCCTGAAGAAATCAGCTCAATGAATTACATAATTTAAATACTAGTTGAAGAAAAACTTTAAAATGTGTAATAATAATAGGTTTAAATTTACTATGGAAATATTTCTTATTGTGTGAATATTTCTAATATAGCACAGAAAGTCAGGGACAAAGTGAGAAACACACATCGACATAGCATCTCATCGACCACCTGTGGAACAGGTGTTTAACACTTGCAGCTCCTCTGCTCAGACATGTCATGAGTCAGACAGTTAAGGCACACTGTAATGTGGTGAGATTAATGCAGATGCAGGGTGTCCCATCCAGCTATCCTAGAAATCCTAAACCACAACAGCTGCCAGCCTGCCAGGCAAAGAGACCACAAGTGAAACTCCCAGCAACGTGTCCGAGTATGTTACCAGGTCACAACGCCTGAGCATGGGGACCAAATCTACATGCTTCAAATAAAAAATTGCACATGAGGATGTATTTTGCCAGACATAATGGTAAGTCCAAGTAATCTAATAATACAAAGTAAGAAAATTTTACAAATAAATAAAACCCCAGACAATAGACCAGTTAAGTAAATAACAAAATATGTGTGATATGAAATCATATCATTTATAAATGCAGTGTACATTAAGTGTATTTGGTAATAACTGAAAATTAGATCATCTACTAAGTAGGGATCAACAATTTGCTACTTACTAACGACCTTGTAATTACAGAAGAGTGCTCTATGCAAATCATAGCAAACACCAATGTAAGGCTAACTGTTTGTACAGTTTGTTCATATCATGGATTTCTTTTACCAAATTGTAAGCCATATTCTAAAATCTGTAAAATGAGCAGTGTGGCTAGTTTCTTGTCAAATACCATATTTAGAAATAAAAATGTCTACAAAGCCCACACAACACAGAAATCAAATAGAACATGAGAAAAGAAAAACGCATTTAGTGGAACAAGAGTGTTTACATTACTGACCCTAGTTTATTCAGGTTAACTGATCACTGAAATTACCTGTAGGTAGTCCAGGACTTGTTCTCCCAATGTAGAAGAAGAGCAGCAAGGCCATGACTATGTTTGCTAAGGCATAAACCCATTGAATAACAAACATGATCAGTATGGAGCTCAATGCCTGAAAGAAAAGAAATGATATATTCAAATTATTCATCAAGTTCTGTTCATACTACCTGAAAATATTCAATAGAACAGAAAGAAATGATGTACAGAATGCGATGTGTAACCTACCCCGATCAGAGCAATCCAGTGGTTGCAGAACTTTGCATAGCATGAATCCTGCATGGATTTGATTTCAAAGCTCTGGTGTTCTGCTTTACCCTCAGCCCCTGAAAAGTGTAATGAAATCTCAGGTCACTAAAAACAGGTAAAATTAACCTCTACGATCTCTCCTTCTGTCCAGTCTAGTCTAATGTTTCATGGACAAAGCTCATCACCTGTGCTGTGATTTTGAGGGTCAGCAGATGAATCGTGTTCAACATGACATGTTTCTGTACAGCATTTGACTTGTGGCTGTTCTCCAGTCCTGAGCTCCTCGTTCCCACACTGCACCTCAACCTCCTCATATGGTGGAGCTGAACTTATCTCCTCCCCTCTTTCTTCTGAGGACATATTGCTATTCAGGTCTAAGCCAAAGCTGTCCATCAGTCTCTGCTTAGCAGTGGCCTTTCTGCTCTTGCCTTGGCTGCTCAGTTCTTGCATGGAGGAGGTCTTCTCAGCCCAAGCATTAACATTTGAGACAGGTGGAAAAATCTGATCCATGTCCTTGGCAAACTCCAATAAAGTGCCTTTACTCTGTGGACTCTCGCCTCCACTCCCATAGTTTGGGAAAGGGGCTTCAATAAGTGGTGTGGAGTTCTGCCTGTTGGACCTGTGCAGATTTCTTTTGGCCAGGACGAGGGTGTCCCTCTTCTCGTAACTCTGCAGCTGGACGGTCATGGCCACGCTGAAGTAGGAGTAGTCAATGAAGCTGTAGGTGAGCATGAAGTTGATGGTGACGATGGGAGCTAGTACATTGACCTGGCCGATGAAAATAAAGGCCATGGTCAGCAGACTGGTCAGACAGATTGCAGCCACTGGGGTCCTGTTTGGGCCCGTCTGGGAGATGGACAGAGCGTAGATGTGATCAGTGACAGCTGCACTACACAAGCAATACCATGTAAAATTACACCTGCCCAAATCAAGAGAATAAGGCTGCAGAAAGAAGAACGTCCCATAGATTCACAACACAATATTTTTTCCCCCAAATAAAACTGTATGACTCATGGACATGGGGGAGAAACACCCACCTCTATGAAGTGTGTCAATGAACCTGTACTTAAAGTTAAATTTTAGTCAAAACCAGCAGAAAGTTAGGACTGCATCTAAAGATCATTTGCTTCCTTTCCATGATGTAGCAATGGTACAATTACTACCTACTACTATAATTATCAAAACAACTATCAACAAGTAAGCCCATTTCATACTAAGCCTCATGTTTTTGTCTTAACTAACCAAATCATTCCACAAAATCTTCTCATGACTTCATCTGGCCTTTTGTTGGTCAGGAGCCATGCTCAGCTAACCTGACACTGGACATCTGCAAGGCCCATGAGAATGTCGGCACTATTCTCAGTATTGATGCTATTTTCTCCATTAGCAGTGTCTGACTTCATTACATTTAATTCAATTTAGTTAGTTCTACACCACAATAAAGAGTTAAATGGTTTGTAGTTTGACTTCAGGAGGGTTAAACATCCAGTATATATTCCAGGGAGACAAAGAATTGACTGAATTGAATCTAATGATCTAAAAAAAAAAAAAAAAGAAAAAAAAAAAAGAAAAGTCTTTAAATTTAGATGAAACACGAGTTCTAACAGGAGAACAAAAAACAATGCCCCAACAATAATCCCTTCCTCAAAATGGAAACATTGTTTTAACATGTGGTTTGGTAACCAGTTTGCTTTCACTTCCCAGGTCCTATCACAGTTTAAGGAGAACTGCTGTGTGCCTGGCAGTCCTCCAGAGCACACAGCGGAGCAGGGCCCTGCCCGTCGCCCTTCCTGCGTTTGTTCTGATGCTTTGATTTGGGCCAAGATGTCTAGGGCCTCATTCCAGCCGGCTGAGAGAGGTCAGACACTGCTGCCATCCAGGCAAGTCTGAGGAAAACCGGGGTGGATGGGGTCAGGACGTCAATGTGACAGTGTGTGTGTGTGTGTGTGTGTGTGTGTGTGAGAGAGAGAAGCGGCAGTGAGTTGTAACTCTTTGTGGTAATTCAGTCAGTTCCCTCACTCTATGGAACAGAGTCCACACACTATATTTAGGCAGTCTTGTCACTGCTTCCTATTGAGTCCAGTCACAACCCCTATATACATATATATATAAATACCTAATATAATAATACCTATATATATATATTTATTCAGCCTAGGCACACTTATTAGGTTACACTGCGCCAACTACTGCTGTTAATCAGAGACAAACTTTACATGACCCTGCTAATATGATTTACATTATAGTACAGTCACTATGCAATTATTTGAAAATGTAGTTCAGTTCCTGGGGGAATATTTAATATATATATTTTTTTTAAAATAATAAATCCATAGGTGCCCTTTTTAGGCCTAAATATAATTTGAAGGTAGACTGAATAATGAGATTTATTTTAGCTCATGAATGTCTATCATCAGTTACTGGCTCCTCTTTAAAGCAGGGAAATAAATCATTTGACAGTTATGGTTTACTAATCTGTATTTCTTAGGCTAGTGTTAAGAATTTCTGCTTGCTCACAACAGCTATAGGACTTGCCCTAAAGTAAACCTCTTAACCAGCACACCCTCCAGGCTGCGTACCACCCAGCCAGCTCCACATATCAAATGTGTATCGTTTAATGAGATTACCAATCCTGGCGAAGGAGGCAGGATGTGTACATATCCTGAGAGAATCTACTGCCTGAGAAGTCCAACTCAGCAAAAATCATAATTAATTTATATGTTTAGAGCTTTCAACAGTTTCACAAGCTCTTGATGAGTGGATGGAGTTTGCTCTGTTGTTTTGGAGATGGATCTGTTGACATGCAAGTGAAGTAGCTGGTAGGATTTCATCCCTAGCACTTTTAGGACTTCTCGTCCATAGAAATTAAGCATCTGATGCAATACTGTTGAAAGCTTCAAAAACAGCCAAAAACAACAGAGTTGGAGTTGTTGTGTCAAACTTTGATTCTAAACAAAGGTCAATAAATTAACATGCATATATATTTAAAAAAAAAAAACAAAAAAAAAAAACATTTACTCTTTGAAATAATTCAATTTAGTTTTTTAGCCCGACTGAAGAACTGCACAAGAATTCCAATATGAATGTAATTTAATGCAAATTGCGATAAAGTCTCTTGAATCTTGACTCAATAATTGAGCTAAACTGGGGTAATGTCACTATCTACGATAAGTGCACATAGACACTTTAAAAAAAGGCATCCATACATTAATCTGGCTCTAGGGAAGTAGGACAAATATTTTTTACCCCTAAACATGAAATGAAATCGTCCCTTAATAACTGGAGGACTGCCTGCCACTCTAATACACTGCAGGTTATTCAGAGCTCTGACGTGCACATAGGAGCAACAAATTATTTGTGTCTAAGGTAGTAAAATGTCCAAAAATTAGGAAGTTAGCAGTACTCTGTTTTCAGCAGGTTCTGCCTACTGTGATCATCACCTCATACATTAACAGATAAGGACATTTACACGTCAATTTAAACTGGGTTAAGAGCAAATAATTCCTGTGTGTCACTGTTGCATAAAGACACACACTCCTTAAATAATCTGCATTTACATCATAGAGGCTCTAGCTAATATTTTTCAGCATGTCAATGTATGCCCTCATGGCTCCATCCAACCATCCATCTACCCACCCCTCTTCCCAGAAAGGCCAGAGCAGGGATGACCCTCTCTTGGGCGATGCACTGGAGGATCCTGGGTGCTCCGTACAGGCCACCCATGCAGGAAGCCAGAGAGGAGATGTAGAGGCCCAGCAGAAAGAGGAAACCCACCAAGGAGACCTGGAGGAAGAAGGAAAACAAACAGAGGGTGGAAGAGGATAGGGTGGGGTTGAGCGCTCACAACAGCTACACCCAGTTCAGTTCCGCTGCAGCCAGCTCCTTATGAAAACAATGAGAACTAACCACTGATGGAGAAGTCAAAGACTTTAAAGTGATTCAGCGATTGGTTGAAGCAAAATGTAATGTTTTAATCGGAAATCTCATTGATCAGCTGTTCACCACAGTTCAATCACTTACTCACTTTTTTCCCCAAAATTAGTTTGTGTAATGGTAGGTATCCCTAACTTTAGCTCTACTGTATGTAAATTTAGCCTGTCAATCCCAGCCGTCCTCACATGAGCTGTCCATATGGAGCCCGACACATGCTCAGTTGCTGCTGAGAATTCATAGATCACATATTCAACCTCCATTCATCAAATTGTATGTGCATAGTATGTAAAACGGCTGCCCAATTTGAAGTGAATAGTTTGAGTATTAGTTCCCAATCAACATTTTTTTTTTTTTGACTTTGACTCAAGTATTAAACTTCATAACATTAAAGTCATATTCAAAATCAATAATAAAATAGAATGATAAACTGGCTAGACTATTGAGAATTTGGTGCTTATGGAGTGTTGCTCTCACACTTTGCGTGTTAATACATTTCTGAAAGCTCTCAATCACTGCAACAAGCTAGCCAATGAGTAATAAATCAAGAGACAGGATAGAAGTAGGTGAAAGTCATCAAATTCATAAGTGACAAATCTGAATACATTATACACACTGCTGTGAATCAGGCTGAGACTGTTGATTAATGCTTCAATGTGTATGCACTTAAGTCAGTAGGCACTTTATTTTAAGTGTTTGTCCTCTTTCATTATTATTTTACTTTCTATTAAGTACGTACTTTACTAATTTGACTGCTACCTAGGTAAGAACTAAAACAAATTCAAATTCAAAACTCTTGCAGACTTATTAAAAACAATACAGATATATGTGAGAAATGTTTTTCATGTAGGCCTACAGGAACTTGGAAAAAAAATGCTAAAGGTCCTACATCTCAACCATTTAAAAAGTACATACAGTCAGAATCTGGACTAACCACACCACATATACAAAGTGAGCCAGCGTGGGGAATCCCCTCACCTCAACCCTTCTCACCCTTGCAGGGTGGGATGGAAACAAAGAACAGTTTACCTTTTCTGCTATCAAGAAGTCATAGCGCAGTGCTTCTCTGGTGCAGATGGCCCCCAGGAGGAAGACAAAGACCAGATACAGGAACCACCTGTGGGTCACCAAAAGTACACCATGCAGAATTATTAACAACTGCTCCTTTTTCACTATTAATAGGAAAATTGTGTCATCACAACTCAACAAGAGACAAATAGAGCCATGTTGGGAATGTAGATTTGTTTGTTCTCTCCAGTGGAAATGGAAAAGTTTTCCCTTTTAATAAGCTACCACTAAGTGATCTGAGAGCATGACAAAAATGAAATCTAAACATTTGGAAAGTACCTTTTTGGATGAATCAGAACTTGAGGGAGAAACTCCAGGGCGTTATATTTGAAATCTGTCCTTGTACAATGATGTATAGTTAAATAGACAAAAGACATCTGTGCGATAATAGTAAGATCATAAGGCAGCCTTTCTAGTATTCATTTCATACTGTGTTACTACTTTCACTCTATCTAGGTCAGTCTGTACACCTTCACCGTAGTTATTTTCTTTAGTCTTAGCACTTTATTGTGTAGTGTTTCATTGTGTTGTTTTTGTATTTTACAATATTAGTTGTGTATCTGTGTGTTGGGGGTGTGTTTGGGCTGTTATCATACGAGGTGAAGACAGCTGCCAGTGTTCCCACAGGGATGTTGTGTTCAGGCCGCTGAAGATCTGAGCTCATGTTGAAGCCTGCCATTACCCCTACAGACACACACACAAACAAAAATGTACACAACATACTGTACAATGCAAAATATATTTTGCACTTCATATGCAGCTGTGTGCTATTCTGAGAATCTTATAAGTATTTTTCATGGTGGGGGTGCTACTTACCTGTAGCAGCAGGGAAGAAGACCCCAAATACTGTGAAGAAGTTTTCTCCTGAGCTGTAATCTGGTTTTGAGTTGCTGCTGAGCAGCTCGGCTGAATAACCAATGAAGCCATGCTCTGAAAGAGGAGGCAGTGTCACACAAAGCAAATCAGATTGAACTTTATGCCAGGATTATCAGTACAAGGTAAGTATAAATCTGGCAACTGCCGACATGAATATCCTTAATAATAATACCAATGCTAATATTTAGAAACGGTTCACTGTATTTGAAAAAACAATCTCACTACAGGGTCCATCTAGTAGCGGCTCTGGAGCTTTTGATGAAAACACATCCTTCATACAAAGATGGAGTTTACCTGTTATGTACAATGCATCTGCTATGAAATGAATTACAACTCTTCTACATTCTGTATTCTGTCATACAGTCTATGATGACAACATATCAACATTTCTCCCTATTGACTGCAGTGCTGGACTACAGCCTGGTTGCTCTACAGTGTGATGTAATGCAATCAGCTTCAAGTGCTTATTGCTGTGGTGTTTTCATCTTCTTTGTATTTAGTCATCTATAGTCCTAGATGCTTATTACTGATGGTAAGTTTTTGCACTGCATGTCCTACAGAAGTTTAGGCTAACTGGAAATGTAAACACATCATTTCTGCACTGGGGTATTTTCCTAAGAAAGACCTGTAGTACCAGACACTGGTTTAAAACAATATATGTACTATAGGTTTGAAAAATATTCTATCATATCTACATCGTTAGAGACTTCTTACTTTTCCCCCTGAAACAAACTCTATTAGTACATCACTAAAAGATGCTTGTGGCTGAAACAATAATGTCATTTTAAATTATTATACTCCCTAACAACTCAAGGGGAAAATTTAATTTAGCTCTTCCATTGTCAACAATATAAACACCAAACAAAGACCAACAAGTTGTTAAATGCACACAAATGTTCCTGTGGGACCTCATGTTGAGAATTTGAGATTGTCACATATATAATGTGTGTGTATATATATATATATATATATATATATATATAAAATAAAATACATGACAACAGTAGGTATCAATGCACTTTAAAAATATGCAGTCTAAAGACAAGACAGGTTTGTTGAGTCTAGGGTCAGTCTGTTGAATGAGTGAGGGGGAGATTGTCCTACTTTGATGGTGGCCATTTAAACCATTCAGCCTGAAGGGCCCGCCTATGTTACAACACCGGACATTTCCCCCTTGGTTATCTTGCGATGGGAAAGAATGTGTTCTGTCAGATTAATGACATGTTTATCCAAAAGGAAGTCACCACCCCTTTCAGAAGCTCAGCAGCTTCCAAGTTTGAGAGAAAGAATGAGAGTGAGCGAGAGAGGGAGACAGAGAGTGAGAGAAAAGAGAGAGGGAGCATGCTCATTTTTTCTTTTGTTTTAGACAAAAGCCAAAACCAAAAAGGGCTGGATATACTAGTTATTCCAAGTGCACATATTCTCCAAGATAGGAATTTAAGGAGGCTGTAAAACGTGACATCAAATGGGACAAGGAGCCCAAAATCTTGTACCCTCTGTGACCCAGTGAGACTGCCCTCTGTCCAAACAACCAGAATCTAACAAATCCAGGACAGTCAGTGTCCATGTCTGCACCATGGGCTCCCCACCCATATTACAACATCATACTCCAACATCCCACCATGCCTAATTCTCAGAGTATTAGGTTGAGGGCGTTCACATATTTATAATGAAAACTGTTTCTATGAACACAAATTCAGTGTTTACTGTCAGTGTTTCTGCATTTGAGCTCCAGAGCTGTGGACAAAACTGCAAACAAATACATCTTTCAAGTGGAAAGTTCTCAATTTTCTGTGCAAACTTGCACTCCCACTACCTAGCTCCTATATGGGGAACGACCTGGTTAACGATTTGAGGGCCCCAAGAAGAAAATAAAAAGCTGTTGCCTCAAAGTATATTGCACACAGCAGACTTTTTGGCAGATTTATTATTATAATTTACACAAAGACCTCAGGAATCAAGGATGAAGTGGATGACACAAAGGATGAGTTGTACCCCCATAACCCTCCCTTCAACAAGCACCATCATCAGGTCAAAACTTCAATTTGTCCAATACTCCAATACTCATGATGAAATATCTGCACAACTGGCATTCCCATGAGCCTCAGCTGTACTTTGTGTCTACAGCTAATTAGCTAATGTAAGCATGCTAACATGCTAAACTAAGATGAACATGGTAAACATTATAGCTGCTAAACATCGGCATGTTAGCATTGTCAATGCGAGCATGTTAGGATGCTGCTAGCATTTCGCTGAAAACACCTGTGTGCTGGCATATATATATATATATATATATATATATAGAGTGTAATGTGGTGTGGGAGGACCTTAAGCTAGTCTGCAAAAAAATATCTTCTCTATAGGCCTATGTAGAGAGTAGGCTGTGGTGAGAGCATCCACATTTCAGTATGTATACTGTAGTCCAAATGTATAGGCAGAGGGGCTCCTTTCTGAGCTCAGCATTCCTCCGATACAGACTGGAATGTGTAGTCAGATTACATGAGCATCTGAGGCTCCTCTGTGTCTCACTGACCTCTTCTTCTCCCACACTGACCAGTATAAGCCACTGTGCATGTAGGACAGGGCCTGCTGTGATGTTACAGAGGTGGGGCATGTCCCACTGGGATGACTGAGAACTATATATTATGGTAGGATCACAGGGAGAAATGTGGCGGTCTCTGGAGTAGCAGCAGGCCTCAGATCTAACTTCCGGCTTTCTCCCTTTGTCATTTTCCAAAAATGTGGGTGAGGCTGGTTAACACCCTTAACCCTAGACCCAAGGAACACATTATGGCTTCCTGTTCTGTGGGGAATAGGCTTCAACTAAGGGGACAGGGTAATGCGTGTCAGATTGTATTTCATCTAAGAACCGCTATCAAAAAAGCGTTTGTGGTTGACGGTTTGGTTGCAGAGACAATTCACTGGCAGTGTTACTGACCAGACTGAATAATTTACAACAGTCAAAATGGCAAGTGAAATCCCCTCCTTATCCCCATTGGGGATGATAAAGCACTATTCCGAGTTGTTTTACATGTTGTAGCCATGTCATTTTTCAATTCAAACTCCACCTGTCCCAGTTCTGCAGGAAGGACTTGTCATGATAAGTCACTTAACAGACCCTCGTGGCTGGGAAATGAGGAAGCCAGGTCAGTCTACATGTGAGAGTTCATCTACCTATATAATAACAACAACAACCCTTAAATCTTTCTACTTATGATTAAACTACTGATTTGCCAGTGGGTGTCTGTTTTAATTAATAGCATCACGACAGGGGTAGACATTAAGATAGTGGTCTAGAAGGTATTTCAAGAGAATAAGGTTGGTGGATGTCACTACTACAATTGTGATAATGATAAAAGAAAAATTAGACCAATATAAATATCAGCAGTTTTGAATTTAACCTGTTGATACGTTAAATAATTTAATCCAAATCTAAAATACTCTTTACGGTTTCACTTTTACCAAAAACCCTTAGTATTTTCTCCTTTAAATATTTCTATTGTTGGGATTCAAAAATAACAAACTGCATCTAACCACTGAAACCTAGGATGATGACGCAATAAAAATGACAAATCGTCATGTTTAGCATTGCAATAAATACATAATTAGATTAGGGCTACAACTAATGATACATAAAAATACTAAACAATAAATAGTTTATATTTTCCAATTCATTTTCAGCTGACTGACTCATCATTCAGCTTCACCTCTAAATTTGATCCTTTCAGATTGTAAGAGAAGTGCAAAATATTAACCAGCAGATGTCCAGTTTTGTATTAAAATGCCAATATTCAATGTTTACCAAGCCTACTGACAAGACAACATATCATTAAGTTCTGATATATTGCTTGGCAGACAAGACAAGCCTTGGCTATGGTCATGATGTACAATGGTGTCCAAAACCTCACATGGTGATCTCTTTGTACACAGGGGACATGTTATCAAACAATGACCACATCATTTTGGCAGTGGCACTTTTTCCTTTAGGATGTGCCTCGGCATACAGTGAACGTGCAGGCTAATCTGAGCTGTTTCAGCTTGCTAGGGGACCTGCTGGTCCACTGCCAACCATGAGGTCACCACAAAACACACAGCAGCTCTTAATTAGAAAAACCTGGGGAAGCCATTACGCCTGGTTCTCCCATAGTTCTATAAAGAGGGCTGGAGGCTGGGAGGGGTGGAGCAGTCCAGGTTAGAGTTATGGGATGAGAGCCTGGTTTTTGTGGCACAGGATACCTGAAGTAGTAAAGCTAAATCTTGGAAAAAATGAACCACTGCCCAGCATAGGACAGGTAGCCTGAAACCCATATGTATGTTTTATTGTGTGCACACAACATGTTATGTGATTATATCTGTTATTAGTATTATTTAAAGTACAGTGAATGTTCTTGTGTTTGAAATGTGTTATTCACAAAAAGGCTGGCTTCACTTCTGGAACACTTGGACAGGACGTTGATAATCAGTGAGAACAGGAAATGTGGGGAAGGACTTCCTGAAAGCCAGCAAAAGAATACGAGCAACTCAAAAAAAGGCAACATTTCCTCACAACGAAAAAAGAAAAAAAATCTCAAACACACCTCCAGTCTCAGACTTGGCTTAAGCCACAACAGCAGAAAAGTCAGCACTTTACCCAAGTTTCCATTCACTAAGGGGAAAGAAAATTCTCACTGGAGACAAAACAGGTTTACAGGCTAACACACATGACAAAATGGGTTGAATATGAAGCAAAAAAGAAAAAAGAAAGTTGTTACACAGACAGTCTCATGAAGACGTATACTGCAGAGATCTAGTAGAATGCAAGACTGAGACTGACTAAAATAAGTGATACTACAGCTACACCTACTGGACTCCACGGGTTACAGACAGTCACAGTTCTAGTAAACACTGTAGTTCTGTGGTTCTGAAACTTGCTTCTTCTATCATGCTGCCCTTTAGAAGCGGCAAGAATTTCAGACCCCCTGCAGGATGCATACATTTATCACATTTTAATCAATTGCTAACAAAACTGTGGAAACAAAAAATAAAATGTTTCTCTTCACATTTTCTCATTTAAAGCAGCAAATAGAAGTAGAAGTAAAAAAAAAAAAAAAAAAACATTTTGAGAAACCATTTTTTTCTATCTCATTAGTTACTAGTGTCAAAATTTGAAAAATGTAAGTTTAACTTTGTCCAAAGTTCATGCACACTAAAACAAGCCTCTTTTGCTACTTTAACTGAGAGCTCAAGAGCAACATATACTGTTTTCATATTTTGGATTTTTACTTACATGTTTAGTGCTTTTCTTTTCGTCCCTCTCAAAACTCTGTCCATCTTGTGCTAATCATCTCTTTTTACTTTCTGAATAAACCCTGCTAACCTGTTCATAGCCTTGCTAGCATCATAGTACTTGTGTTCTATAACCATTTCCTAAGCTATTGGGCTGTAGAAGCAGGAAAAGCACAGGTGGAACTAATGATATTAACGAGGGCTGCATTCCAGCAGTTGCTGCAATGCTGTGCAGAAATGAACTTATTAGTTCCACCTGTGTTTGACAAGTCAAAATGTAGGTTGTGACAAAGGTCTGTTCAACTTTTTTTCCACAGTTTTTCACCCGGGTTCACTCTCCATTCTCCATCCTGACTACACCATGGTAGAAAGACGTTACCTCCACAGTCAGAAATGGAGAACTTTGCCAACTTTCAAACACAGGCTGAAATCTCAACTTTTCCAACTCCACATCTGCCCTTGACCTGCAACTATTCGCCTAAAGCTCATTCACACACACACATACACTGTTCATTATTTATTGTGTTCTAACAGGATTAAGGTTGGACCAATGCTGAAATGACACCAAGATTGAAGCATCTTTACAAATGTCTAGAATCTTGTGATGAGATATTGGAAGACAGAACCGCAACACCCACCCCTTCCCAGCTCACTGCAGATGCAGCCTGTTGTTAACAATGTAACAAAACTAATTCTTCATTTCAAATTTAACACTTCAACACAGGTGAATCACAACATTATTATTATATTTTAAGTTCAAGCAAGTTGTATATTTTGTAAATATTACACCTATTTTATTATCTTCCAACAGATTGTGTCACATGTCTATTTCATGATTGAGTGATCACGCTTGCGGTAAAAGTTAGTCTAGTTTAATTAGCTCAAGATGGATAATAACCTTGAGATTGCATATTCCTCAGACACATTCAATTCAGTGTATTTGGAGAATTGCTACATGCTTAAACAGGATTATACTTGCTAACCGACTTAACTAGAATTCTTTCTTTTCTCTGATACAGCATCTGGTGTTGGGTTTTTTTTTTTATTTTCATGGTATTCTTGATGGTTTGGCTAATCACCCAGTAGATGGTTAAGGCGTGGTCACTTTTTTCAGAGGCTTTAACATTAATATTCTACCACTGAATAATTTGAGGTTTATTTTGGCTGGAAAATATCCAAAAAAACTATTGGCAGACACTGAATCGTGGCGAAATACAGCAGTACTGATTGAACTCTTCCCACGACCCCAGTTACTTTCTCCCATCACTCTTTATGTCAGTATTCTAGACCCAAGCCCTACCTGGGTCAAGGTGCGTGAAAGTGCCAATGACAAAGTCCAGTGTGGAGACGGCCAGGACAGCCAGCAGTAGCAGCTGAAGTCGGACAATCCACTTCACACCAGCCAGGTTGATTCCAAGCAGAGCCAGCAGCACCACCGCCGACATGCCACGCACTGCCCACTGAGTCTGTAGACCCAGCAGCTCCGCCACCGACTCAGAGAAACCCGTGATATACATGGCTCCAGCCACGCACTGCAGGGTCGAAGGCAGCATGAATCAGGAGATAACATCGGAAGATACTAATGAAAATGTGGATCTGTCACAGACAAATTAGTTGCATTACAAAAACCAAAAGCTTCAAACTAAAAATATTAATATCAGCCTTCAAAAAAAACTCACCTGTCCAAACACATAAAGCAGGCCCATTGTGCCCCCGACCCTGCCTCCCAGGACGGTGGAGATCATGGAGTAGATTCCTCCACTCCCGACACCACAGTGCTCACACACTCCAATCCCTGACATCACCGTCACCAAAGCAACCAGCACGACCAAGGAGACCAGGAGCATCCCAAGCAGCACACCTGTGTTGCCCTGGATGATGTCAGGAAACAAAATGACCAAATACAGTCACTGATGCACATACTGTATGTACATCTGCAGCAATTCAATTAGATATATGTAGCTACAGCTTCACATTTTTCATTTTTATGTCTGCTAATTTTTCTTTCTTTGTCTTATATGTTATACTGCTGTTAGTCTGCACACTCAACAGTGATATTTTAATTCATAGAATTCATATTTAATTCATAATTCAAAATTTTAGTTGTACCTCATATACTTGTGTGTTGCAACTGTCATCTGCAAAGTGTTTAAAACTTGCAATGTTCACTGGGATAAAAATAGAAAATGTTTTTTTTTTTTTTACTTCATTCTACTTCTATTTGCTGCTTTAAAGTGATATAGCCAAAAATGAACTGCTCAACTGTAATTTTCACTTTGATTGTAGCCTTGATGTTAATGAAAACTAAGAGGTATTTCTGGTGGCCCAGGGGATTAAGGTGGCAACCATGAACCACAAAGTCCCCAGTTTGATGTCTAAGGACCTTTGATGAATGTAATTGGCCTTTTCTACTTCTCCTCATTTCCTGTTAGATCTCCACTGTTACCTATCTGCAAAAAAACATAAAGTGCCAAAAAAAGAAGAAAAAAGAGGAAAAACCTCAACACAGGCAAAACATGTTCCCTGAGCTACAATCTTTCAAATAACTTATGATAAGATGCATCTCACTCTGGATAAGAAACCCCATCTGACACTTAGCAAACTATATTTTGTCCATCAAGCTAAACCCAAACAGATGTAGCTTTTAAGAACAGAGTCTTTGTTGCTTTTTTCCTGTGATGACACATGCACATTACAGTGTTTGGGTTGGAGTCATGGGGTGACACGTACTTAATGATGACTGCAGCTGGAAATAAAAATCTAAAGCTTCAGCAAAGCTGAACAAAGATGTGAAAAAGCACACACTATTACCAAACATGAGGCTAGATACTATAAAGTGTACAGGTGAACATATGCAAAACATGCAGTCCTTTCCTGTTCAACCACCGACCTACTCATTTAATGAGCCGTAAATGGATGTTTACACACAGCATTTATGAAGCACCAGTCTGCAAATGGCGCACAGTGCGTCATCACTCCAGCCAATATCATCAATAAGTCCACTCTGTTCTCATTAGTATGTGGACCATGTAGACTCAGCTCCCAGTCTGCACTATGCTTTCAACAGTGAGAGATTGTTGTAGCGGTGAGAGGATGGGCAATGCACTGGTGGGAGGATCTGATATTAAGTAATCCATGCTTGATTGTTGGAACAATCAAGCAGTTTTTTCAACAGTGCTCGAATGCATCATTCATTTTACAAGATACAACAGGACATCTGAAAATTGTGGGTGCCAGGGTATTAAAATGTACTTTATATGTTTATAGAATTGTTTATAGATAAATTATTTCATTTTTGTTACTTTCCGTATTTTAGTTATTGGTGCAAATGTTGAACCTTAATCCTCTGCTGTCCAAGTCAGGAAAAAAAATCCAACTGAGAATTGCTTCATTATTAGTTTTCATTATTTGTTTTGTTTTAAGACACCACAGTTTTCATTAAGTTTAATTCAAATCTTTCTGGTTAGTTGTTTTGTCTCTTATATCTTTGGCCTTTTTCTAATATAAAGAAGGTCTGCAGTTTCTCTGACTGGGTATGGCTGTAGATGCAGTGTGAGCTCACCACCAGGTAGCCGGTACGCAGGAATAAAACCACACCAAAAATGTTGATCATGCAGGTGGTGAAAACTCCATCCCAGGTGCCGAATAGCACTGGCTCCCACACAAACAGTTTGATCCTCCACCACGGTTGGCTAGACTGCTGGAAACCCTGAACACAGAAACACCACTGTTACAGCACTGGAGGACTTAAAGATGTGTCATTTTAACAGCATTAAGTCATTATCATAGTCATTATGTCATATTCTAACCTCCATCACCATGAATATGGGAACTATTTGAACCATCAGGGTACACATCTTACCTGTGCATCTTCATGAAACAGATCATGGACATGTGTGTCTGTGTCATTGTCAGTGTCAGCAGCTTGCCCCTTCACTAGTCCTACCCCATCTCCCTCCTGTGTGTGCACAGTCCAACCAAATGGCAGGGTATCCATTGCAACCTATAGGTGTAAAGCAGGTGTCTCCCCTTCAGGTGGCCCTGTTTGTTAATAATATGTTAAATGACAACATGAGAAACAAAAATCAACCAAGAGCTTGAATTCATTAATAAGTAACAACATTAGTTTGCCCCTGTTGAGGAAGTTGGCTAAGTTTGTTTTGAATGTGACAGTAGGCTACATAATGGTCCCGCCTATCCCGGTGAGGACACCCGGACACAACAGGGTGTGCTCCTGACACTGCAGCTAAACAGACGTCATTGATGAGTGAATGGTATTTTACTAACAGTTAAAATAATATATCAGTCCTGTAATATAATAAAAGGCGCCATTAGCATCAAATATCGGTACATAAAGTTTTACAACAGGTTTAATCTCACTTTTTAGCCATAAACCAACAGCTTTGTCTTTTGTAAATGTATGTTTGTAACAATTAGCCCCCGTACTAACTAAGCCAAGCAGTCGTATCTGTACGGTGCAAATGGAGGTGTCCTCACCGAGGGTCACACAACTGAGCAGATTAGGCTGTAGACACAGTCGAAGCCAAACCTCACTGACAAACGTGTCAATTTAAGGTTTCCTAGTGGCAACAGTAAAATATGCTGCCTTTCATTCTCTAATTTTCTCTGAGCAACTTTTAAACTCGACTATACGCAATATGGTAACTTAAAGAAAATTGCTTTTAAATATATAGTTTGATGATTTAATTAAGCAAACCAGTGTATCAGGAGAGTGAGTTCAAATGTTTATCAGTCGTGTAGCAATTTGAGGACAAGCACTTATGTATTCTGACGCTTTTGACTATAATTAACCAAGGCTACTGCTTAAATTGACAGATTTTTGAATAATGTCTTCGCGTGACGTTGTCTGCAACACAGTCCAAACTTTTACACTTCAGCCTTACCTTTCACAGAGGCCCGTGTCAGTCCATGCTGATAAAAACAAAAACAAAAACAAACATTTGTCAGCTATAAATATGACAAATAAGTTCATTATTCCATTGTGCTCTGGTGATGAGTCCAGCCAGTATGAGCGGAGCTCCGAGCCCCTGCTGCTGCTAACAACGTGTTTAGTGAAAACGTCAGCAGCCAGCCGTAGATAGATGTTTGGTTACCTTCCAGGGTGTGTTGCTGCTTTGCACAAGGATCCTGTGTTAGTCTTGGCAAGCCCTGTAGGTTGACTAATGATTAAAGCTGAAAAATGCACGCACCACTCAACATCCTTATCTTTTTATTTGTGAAATTCTTTCCTAGAACATGCTATGGGAAAAGGAGATGTGTTGGACTACGAGGGTATTTATAGGCCCGCAAAAGGATGATTGTGTCTCATTTCTGCCAGTCAACAATACTTAACACTTAACAACATAAAGTGATAGAGAAAGTGACTCGATGACAAAACCTGAGAGTACATTTGTGGAGTTATCTTTTAATATCTTTACAAACTTTAAGTGATAGGAGCTTGGTAGCGGTGGACACTTGGAGAATTTTACAGCAAACTAAGAAGTTTTCTTGTGCTATTTTTACAATTAGCTGATTAACCCATTAGCAGATTTACAAAACATGTATGACTTTTTTTTTTTAATAAATTAAGTATTATTTTCAATCCAAAACACCAACCATGACTAAATGACTAATAAAGAAAGATGAATGAATAATGAAAATAATCATTACATAACCTACACTTTCCCTCATTTTTGCAGAGGGCTGTTTAAAAACTGTGAAAGTTAAAAAACAATCAACATACCTAGACATTTTCATGACAATTTCTGCGTCAGCATGAATGCAATATACAGTAAATGATAACACACAGTGAGCAGCACCAGCAGATAAATGGCCTTTGCATGTCAATAACAATTCAAGGTCACATACTGTGAATTATTTTATTTATAAGGACATGACACAACAATCAAAACAACAATTTAATCTGATTGTTTACAAATCATAATATATTGCAAAAAATCTAATCATATGGGTTACTTGACTGAAATTAATTGATCACAATTAAAGCTGCACATTATTCATAAAACAAGTTCACTCGACCCAACAAGTTAGAGACCATGCAAATAAACCTTACAGTCTAACTTAAGATCAACCCCCACAGTGAAGTTCATTAAAAGTATGAAAATGCCAGTCACACTCATGAAGAGGCTTCTCATCCGTATTTGAAACATCTTGACACAAACGACTTGTACAATGATAAATGAGGGTAGCAATAGTGACTGCATATGATATACTGTCCATATCAGTGCCTTAAATGACATGTTTCAAAAATAGTTTTTATCAAAAAATTCATAATTCAGATCTTTTTACACAAAACAAACATTTTTTTTTCTCTAGCTTATACAAGGACACTTATGGCCAGGTTACTGACAATAGTTAATTAAATGGAAAAAAATACCATAGTACTGCTCATATAATTCATGAATCTCCGTCAACAGTTTTGCATTTTAAATTGTGTGACTGAATTCAAAACTCTTCAAGAACAATTTATGGGATACGATTTACCAAAGCAGAATTACTCATCTGCACTGTGCTTCTAAAAATTGCTCACAATGAAATGGGTTGACAGAATAACATTTCAACCACGGAGCCAGTATTTTATGTAATATTCCACCCAAACTCTGTTTGAATTGACATGAATTCAAGCTGTCACAGCTGTTGAGGTTAAATACTCAATACAAAAAAAGACTGATTTCAAGTGGAGTATTACTTTAAACTTAAATGAACATTTTCTGGGGGCTTTTCATTACAGGTGTATACAGTAAAACCCATCATAATGCACAATCAACTGCATTAACTTACAAAAAAAAATCAGTTTAACCAATCAGCAATAAAACTGTAAAAAGTGTCAATTTTCCTCTGATAACAGTGGCAATATACTGTATATATGGAAACCTCAGAAACCCACAGCTTTTCAACAAGTGAAAAGGATTCGTTGTTGAATCTAATAAATGCTGGAAAACTAATAAATGTGCCTTCCACTGACAAAAAGTGTCTCTTGCACAAGCCTTGTCTCTCTATTGACACAAAGATCTAACAGTACTTCTCAGAACATAAAAATATACAATGTATTTACAGCAGGATATTGTCTATACATTCTACAGGGAATGTTCAATGAGGAAAAATAAAGTATTTGATGATTAACGTGGGTGCTGTCTGTCCCTGATTGTCAGTAGAAATGTAACAAGAGGGAGCTTAGGTGGAGCAAAGCTAAATTTGATGATGGAGCAGTGTTCAACACAATAGCACCTAAGACGATACACGTACTAGTGCACATGGAAACCAGTCAACAGTGTGATAAAGTACAGAGGAGACCTCAATCAACCATTTAAATCCACAATGTTTCAACAAAGCCTGGACAGATGTGGCTATGACTGAATTGTAGCAAATATGTGATCATTAGCAAAACTACAAGTATCTAAAGCATGAGTCTATATTCATATAGACATTGTGTAGCACAGTACTTGAAAATGCAATTTCCTTCCAACCAAAGATAACAGGTTGAGAATTAAACTGTGTGGTATTTCTTGCTTAAATTCTAACATAGTAAAATGAAATGGGCAAAATAAAATGAAGCTCCCATATCTCAATGTATTACAGACTGAATAGGTTGATAGCTTATGTGTTTGTTGTTATTGTGCAAGTTGAACAAGTAGCCTTAGAGCATTGGCTGAGTAAAAAGAAATACATATAAAGGAATGAGTATAGGAAGGCTGGAATTAAAAAAACAAAACAAAGGCACAGATGCAAAACTAATGAAACTCAAAAACCAAACACCTTATTTCCACATGCACTGTAGATTTCATAATATAGCCTTAATAAAACTTTGACCTTCAATGAATACAAAGGGTTCTCATCACATGGTTTTGTTTTGTTCTCCAAAAAAAACCTGTACATACTCCAAGAGGAACAATGACGAAACTGCAGCTACAAGAGCTACATCATTACGAGTGACTAAAGCAAAGAGGATCATCTGTAATTTCATATAAGCAAATCTGACACCAGGGTTTTCACTAAATGGTCAGTGTCAGAAATCGCATTTAACAAAAAGTTTCCTTTTAAGTAAAGGTATTATGCAATTCATCCACTGTGAGAGTTAAGTACTACATTCCTTGTGGTGAAGAATGTGCAAGTTGTGCAAACATTAAGCACAATCCTGTTAAGTTATTTCACTACAACTCACTTAAACTAAGAAAATAAGGATTATCCTGCACTCATTACATGTGTGCAGCTATTAGGTACCCACATCTTTTAGGGGTAGAAAAAGTTTTATATCTGATATATCCCAGCCTTTTTATTACACAGCCTATACTGTGCTAGACTCACATTTGTAAAATCAGTGCCAAGAAATCCAGCCAGGAAGGGAGTACATTAACTCACACAATGTTAAACAGTTTATGAATGAGAACTATAATTTCTTTTTTTTGGCAGCCAAATGAGGCCCAATCACACAAACTAGATTCCTGATCAGACACACACCATCTGTTAAATCTTTTCTGTAGCATTCATTACACATTTCTAGAAACACCTATTTTAGGTGAGAATAAAGTGACTTCAACATATAGTGAAGAATCAATTAGCTAACCATGGTTTCATTTCAGTGAGCAATTTAACGGGAGTTACACAGCTGGGATAGAGTGACACTAGGGCAAACTTACATTTAACCAGATAAACAGCAAGGGGAGGTAGCTACAGAAAGAGCAAAAAGGCATACATAGATAGGGCCTACATTTTAATAAGTGGAAAAATCGCATGAAGCAGCAAGAGTGATTTGATCATCTTCTGAGCAAGGCAAACTGATTGACAAAAACATTCAAAATAAACTCCATGGCAATGGTTTGAGAGAATATTTCACTAATCTCTTAATGTACATTCTGGAGCAAGAAATATTCCCTTGAACAATTTCAATTTTTTAAAGGGGAAATGCTAATTATGATTTATCAATTTTCAGTACTTTCCTTCTTTGAGGCTGAACTTAACAAAAAACAGAACATGAATATGTTTTCTAACAAAATGCTTTGAGAAAGCACACACACTTGCAATGGAACTTATTTTGGCAAAACAGGAAACAGGAGATAAAGTGCAGCTGAAATTATTAACAGAAATGCCTGACCCCCATCCCTTCAGCCAAATGTTTCACTGGATGAAACATCAGGGGAGGAGTTCAGTTGAGACCTGGTCTCAGTGACTCTGACTAAGGGGAACTCTGAGAAGTCTGTGCTGTGTCCTCTGAGACTTACTTGTCCGTTGGCAACAGTAAACTGTGAAGATGACCCAGATCTTGATGCCTGGAAATGAGATTTGAAGTTCTGATCGAAGGAGCTTATTTGAAAAGTTTGCAGTATTCCCTGTGAAGTGTCTGTCTTTTTGGAGGGTGAGACCTGCTCCAGAAAGTCCTCCTCAGCTGGGGACACTGCGGAGGGAGGGGTGGTGTCATCACCTGAAAATGAAAACGAGTGCTGGGAGTCCCCAACCAGCAATCCAAAGTGAGGTTTCTCTAAAGTGGACCTTAGCGGAGAGCTCATCCCTGATTTGAACCTGCTGGGGGAAGGAAACTGTTTTTCTGTGGAGAACAGAGGCTGTCCAGCTAACGTGGGGTTTTCAGAGACCAAGCTGAGGCTCTGGCTGGTCAGGTAGCTGTCATTCTGGCTGGTCCTCTCCAGTGCTTGTTGGAGAAACTTGGAGTATTCTTGTAAGAGGCTGACCTTCTCAGTAGCTGGTTGAGCCTGGGCGCTAGAGGCCCCGAGACTCTCCACAGGGCTGCTGTCTGAAACATCAGAAGAATTAATGGATATGCTTGATGTCACCTCTGTGTCAGCCACGCTAAAAGAAATGTCTGATTGCCCATTAGCTTTGTTGGAGTAGTGATCCAACAGCGTCTGAAGAACTTCATCTGGCAGCACATTTTTGTCATGAGTTGACTTAATCTCTGTGTTGATTGGCTGGGGCTCCAGAATGGTGGCAGGGACAGTTTCGTCAATGACGGTTGACACCACAGTTTGCGTAACAGGTGGCTGAGAAGAGATGCTGCTCGTGTTCAGGCCATAATCCCGACTGTTGTTGGCCATTGCAGCCTGAAGGTAACGTTTCTTCTTGAGGAACTGCATGGCATCGTCGTAGTTTGTGCTGCTGGCTGCTGGCTTTGTTGGTCCTCCTTGAAGAGTTTCAACTGATTCGAGTTCAGTGTTGCTTTCTACTTCCAACAGGCTTTGCTTGTCCACGATTTCAAAGGCATACTGGGTGACCTTACTATTTTCCTCAAAGGAAGACAAAGTGGACAGGCAGGGAGGAGTTTGTTCATTGGACTGTTTAAGACCCCTCTTGGGGACCTTCTTCAGGACTAGCTTAGGAGGAGTCGTCTCCTCTGATGACACTTCTGCTTCTTGGTGTTGGCTAGGTGTTTCTTCAGGAAGTTCCACAGAGTAGTCAGTAATGACATACTCATGTTTGACTTTGGAGGACACGGCATAGAGAGGTAGACCTTCAATTTTATTCTGTCTCTGCTCCTCCTTCTCCTCCGTTTCTACAACAGTGACAGTGTGCCCTTCTGTCTGGGCAGCGGTGGATGCGCCTGAATTCTTGTCTGCACACTTCTGGCGCTTTTTCTTGGGCAGTGAACACTCTTTGGCAAGAAAAGGGAGGCCTAAGGAATCTGTTTCACGCAAAGGTCCAACTTTACCAGCAGCCTTGTTGGTCTTTCTCTCTCTGTTCTCGTGACACATTCGTCTGTGCTTTAAAACCCTGTCTGTTCTGGAGAAGTACTGTGGATGGAGGACACAACACATTTTTTTACACAATGTAGTAAAAAAAAAAAAAAACATTGAGTTGAGGCAATACAGACAATTCAAGCAAACACTTTGCATTTTCAATTCTTAAGAATCTATCAATGACAATATTTTCACTGATGTCTTGTAAAACTTGACATGCTCATTCTCCCAGTAGTGATGCTACAGCAAACTGAACCTGGGTGACATCAGTCTCATTTTATTACTGACCATTTCTTTTTTGTTGCACTTATTTAAAAACTGGTTTAACTATAGCTAATACTGAGCCTTACTACAGCATTTTTATTCATTGCATACTTAGTCAAATTTGTCCTGCACAAAGAACCCCTAATATGATCACCATTTCACATTTTATGCTGTTTTCAATACCTGATTTATCAACCTTGTTCAATAGTCTTGATGCTCCCAGCTGCATGAATTCGCAAGCAAACAAAAGCAGCATACCTGGTGACAGTAGTCACATTGATAGGGCTTCTCTCCACTGTGAGTTCTCTTGTGTCTCTCCATGTGATACTTCTGAATGAACCTCATCCCACACTCATCACAGCGAAAAGGCTTTTCACCTAAACAGAGACAAAAAAAAGGAAAAGCCCAAGATGACTCACTTGTGACTAATATGATAAATAAAATCATAGTGAATCCTGATTCCATTCTTCACTCACCAGTATGGATCTTCTCATGTCTCTGTAGGAGATATTTCTGAATAAAGCGCATGTCACACTGGCTGCACTGAAACGGCTTCTCACCTGGATTTTGAACAATATACATAGATATAAAGAAAGCTCTGTATGTACATAACAAAGTACACAATGCTTAAGGCCACAATTTGATTTAGCATTGCTACTCTTTAGCTGGACTGCTCATCTTCATTATGATGATAATTGAAAAATAATCCATCCGCAACATAATAACAAATGATTGAGTGATTCATACCAGTGTGAATGAAGACGTGCCTCTGCAGATGATAGTTGGTTCTGAATGCAGCATTACAGTGAACACAGATGTGACACTTGGGATTTTGAATGCCCAGTGATCCGTCATCATTGATGCTGAGAATCTACAATAGGGACAAAGAAAGATACTAGTATTTGTTTCATTCTTAAAGCTGTCTCCATTGAAATTCTTCAGGCTTGTAGAATAATTGACTCCATTCTCAATCACACAAACATGTCTCTGCTTTGATAAAACTGACAGGTATTCCACATTAAATTTCTTTAAAAAGTGTTCAGACTTGCACCTTTGCTGGTGAGCGCTGTTTCCTTTTCTTCTTCTTGGGACACACCATCAGGTCCTTAACTGCTTTTTTGTCCTTCTTTATCTGGGCTGCTGGCTCGGACAGCTTCAGTTCCTGCTTGATGCTCAACTGTGAAAGTAGGACCATAGATAAGCAAGATATTTATTACAGCATATGACCTACTTTAAAGCCCACCCACTCATCCAGCAGTTTATCCAGGTCAGGGAGGTGCAATAGGGCAAGTAGAGGATAATCAACCCATGTGAATGGATCTCACCATTTAGCAGCTGCTCCTCCACAATTTAAGAAGCCAGTTGATGTGGTTTAAGCATTCTCTAAGAATTACCCCCTGCTGGAAGCATAACAGACCAGAGGGAAACCTCTGGTCCTAGAAAACCTAGGACATGCTGATAGATTACATCTGGCAGCTGGCCTCAGAGCATTTGCAGATGCCCCATCTGACTTTCTTTAAATCAAATTGCCACTCTCCACAAAATTTCAGCAAATAACCTGCTGGATAATATGTCATTCTTACAGGCAGTTGTTATAAACCGGAAAAATGCTTTAACCCTGATAAAACTGATTGATTTAGGTTATCTCCAATGTTTACACTTGGAGTAAAAGGAGTATTTTGAAGTCCACATTTGCTGTATCTTTATTCTTCTGTAATGCAGAAGAGTTTCAGCTGATGTCTTCCTCTGTCTTCAATCTGTTATTTTAAACTATGTTGACAGTGTTTTGCAAACTGGTGCGGAGCCAGTACATGACTGTCTACAACTATTAACTGGGCCAAGGGTGGTTTTCATTAATGTGTCAATACCTGAGTACATTTTCAGTGTTAAAGGAATTGATGGCCCATGATAAAACAGGACATGAAATGACATGTAAGGAAAATAACTACATATGGAGACTTTTGATACAGTATCCACACAAACAATCTTATCAATACGTACTCCTACTACTACTTAACTCACTGGCATATGAAGCAAGCAGGGTAACTTATTGGTGAGTTTTAGGGGGAAATGCACTCCCACCTCGCCTCCTCCCTCCTCTTCTCCTCCTCCACCATTTTTTGTCATCTCCTCCTGCATCATCAGCTGCTCCGGGGGGACCAGGTCATGAGTAACCAGTGAACTCCCAGTCAAGTCCTCATCATCATCTTCATCGTCATCATCCTCAGCCAAGAGAGGGTGGTTCACCAATGATCGTTCCCCCAGAGTCATCACCACCAGTCCTCCTCCGCTGGGCAGCCCTCTCCCACCTCCATCTATTCCACCACTGCTGCACTTCAGCAGCATACCCTCCAACTTGTCCTCAGCGTTCATCTTACATAGAGTAGTTCTTGAGTCTTTAAAAAGAAAAAGATAGAGACAATGTTGGCAGGCTAAATGTCAAACATACTCAACATACGAAGACATTAAAGCTCACAAACCTACAAAATTATCAGGCATAACACCATAAAATCCAAGTCTACATTTCTGCAGTCCTTGATGTAAAGACAGCCGCACTACTGGTCACTATAGGTAACATTATACTACAACCAATAAACTAACCATAGATGTCTATAGTAAAGTGCATCATCATCAATAAAATCACCCAAATTACATACGAAAATATAGCTTGGATGGAAAGCTTAAACTTTCAATTTCCCCACAAACTATGATTCAGCCTTCTTCTCAAAACTGTGTTGGTTACTTATTTATTTAATGTACAAAAGTAACTTATTCTAAAACCTATTCTTAAAGCTAAGGGAAAAGGTTCACACAATTATGTTGTTCTTAACAGTGGGAAACAGAGTCTGTTGTCATAAATCTGATGTATATTCCCAGTGGGTTTCATTCACTTATTCACTAGTTGTACATATAGGTCTATCTTAAACTTGTAGTCCCTCTAAGTTCCACGTCTGTTGCTCAAACAGTGTCTCTTCTAAATAGTACAGTGTCAACTTTAACTGGGTCAGCTGTTGTTTCTGTGATCTTACCTTACAAAATGTACTGTACAGTGTAAAGTGATAGCAAGCACTGTGAAGCAGCTCGGAAAGATGACAATTTATTGAAATGATGTGCTGATTTTTATGACCCTGGGTCGTATAATGTTTGAAGTTATTTTGTACAAGTTAACGTACTAATGAGCCAGGCCGATTATTTTCATATTTCTTTCAAAGACGGCTAAATGTCAGTCTACGTCGACAACAGCATATTTCCAGTACCAAAAGAGTACTTAACCAGCTATGCATTTTATACTGCAACATTACACTGGCGGTGCGCTTACTTAGCGTTACACTTCAACAACACCTAATTAGTTAACTAGCAATCACTCGATCTTAAAACGGTAACGCAAGCTAACCTAGCACTTGTGGACCGCTTAGGAAGAGGTATGTATTGTAGCTAATACAGACTAACCCACGAGGCAGTATGGTAGTTTAAGTATCTGTCACGGTTTAAACACACACCAACAACCACTAAGCCCCATATGTAAACACACTCACTGTGTCACTTAGGTTAAGTGGGTTAAGTCTCTTGCTAAGCAGCTAGGTAGCCGCGCTTGTCAAAGCCGCTAACGTTGAACTACATCACGTTTAAAACAAAACTGCTGCAGTGACGTAGGAAGAGAGGCCGCACTGCCTTCAAAATTAAAGCTCGCCCAAACCATATGAACAATACAAATTCGAAATCCTACGCGCCAACTGCTCATTTGTAATATTTCAATTGACTTTTAAGTCAGTTTGACACCCTCTCAGTAGCATACATTTAATTTTTGAAGCTATAATTCAACCCCGTCAATGCCGCCAAGCCATATCAGTATATGTACATTAACGACAACCCTGAAACACTAAAACTCGTGCATCGCTGAATACTTTACTTTGATGGCTGCGACCGGAAGTTCTATTTTACTTGTACATACTTGACAAACATCGACGGCCTATTTGAGGCTAGTTAGCTAACAGGTAGCAGCTAGCAGGTCGCTGCAAACATTGATCAGTGTCTGTGGCTGTAATATTCAGTTGACACCGCATGTTCACAGCAATAGACGTGTCTTCTCACATGCAGCATTCGACAATGAATTATATCTCACATTAAACGACATACGTGGCACAAAGCACAACTTTGGTTTGCACATTTCACCAAACTTGTCAGCAGGGTTAGTCCGCTTCGGCGCTAGCGCCTCCAGCTTCCTCAGCCACTCTGTTCAATAGGCCTACAATGTAACTGCTGCTAGTAAGGCTAACGTTCGCTAACTAGCTAGCTCGCTACCAAGACAAACAACAACGCACGTCTCAGTGGCGCACAAGTGATATGCCAACTATTAAAGCTGCATTGTTTCTTCTTACCTGCTGTGCGCCTTAAACCCGTTTAGCTGTCATGATTGTTATGCAAGACTACAGTGTAATGATGGTGTGCGGAATAATCAAATACACCATCACATTTCATGAAGGCGTCAAAATTTCTATTTGTCGCCATCTAGTGGTGTGGTGTGGATAGTGTGGTGAACAGTGCGCTCCTGATCCTCGCTGTTGCTGATGTTCCCTCATGCTCCAATGACGACCTATAAATGGTCTAACAATAATGTCTTAGTGACTATCTTCAGTCATTTTTATTCTTTGTTGTCTATACAGCTATTTTAGCCTTTTTTGAAATAGTCACTTAAAAATATGTAGTCTATTGCAACTTGTAGCAGCACGGATAACGCATTTTGTTTATGTCTATTAATAGTCCGCACAGTGGTTAGCCTAAATATGATTTGTGATCATCTGATAGAATCCAATCGGAAATTAAGCGCGTCACTAAGTGGGTAAGAGGCTCCACGAAAAATCTGTTTTACAGAGTCATGTCTATGGGGTGTTTGTATTTCCGGCTGCAGGTAGCCTACTTATATGGATTTTCTTGCGTAAGTGAAACTACAAAACCAATGGTGATTTCTTAACTTCCATATCCTAAAAAGAACAAACAAACAAACAAAGAAACAAACAAACAAACACAAAAACTCCTTTAACCCATTTTAATTATGACCTTGTGATAGGCCTATACTGTCTAAGCTACTGCATCAACAGCTGCAATATTACTATGATTTAACAAGCGCTTTCCACGTCATTTTTAGACCATCCGCTCTTTATTATGGGATTACTATGGGATTCCTTATTTTTTTGAAAAAGTGCCTTAAGATTTTTTAAAATAAGTAGGCTACCAACCTTATAAGAATAATATAAAACAGCAATAAAAGGCGCATCAAGTGGAAACGGGTTTAATTTAGAAACCATCTGGATTTATCTCTCCTATTAATCCATTCATTTGACAGGTTTGCAGCAAAAAGGGATGTTGAGGGTCGTGATAAGATGATAGCCTGTCATGCACACACACACCCCCACACACACACGTACACACACACTCCAGCGTGAGGAATACTAATCAACCTGTTTGCCGACAAGTGCAGCAGCTCGGCGCGCAATTCAGGACTTCTCCATTCTGTCTAGAAACGTCTCTGCTGGATTTAATCTAAACCTCCACCTGCTGAATTTCACCGGGTTTTTTGTAGTGCAGCCTTCTTTGAGCGAACGAGTGGTTATCACTCGTGTCTTCCCCGTCTCTGCTTCTTCTGATGTGCGACAGACAGTCAGGCAGAGTGGACCTGGGGACTGACAGCCCACTCCTGCGCCGCTTCTAGCAAGGGAAGCCCCCCACGCGTTGCGCGCCTGGATCGCCGGCATATATTCGCGGCGTGGAGTGCGTGTGCATGTGCGTCAGGCTCTTAATGTGTGAGTTCGCGCACGTCAAAGCCCCGGGCTCCGTCCTCAACAGTTGCCACCGGAGCGGAGGAGAGGAGAGGAGCAGAGCGAGAGAGATAGCAGACTGAGGACGGACGGACGCGGAGCCCCACGCCGCTCTGCCCGGCTCTGCTCCTGACATGCAGTCGCTCATCTCTCCGGTGACAAAGGCCATCCTAGTAGCGCTTTTCATCTTCGCCATACTCCTCATTCTCTATGTGATTCTCTGGTACATTTGCAGAGACGTGGACTGCGACCACGGCATTTGAGGATTCCGTTAAAACGAGAATAACGGGAATATCACAATGGGGCGCACAGAGAAGCCCGCAGAGCCCAGGGTCATCCCGTAAGTCTGCTTGTCTTCCTTTTGTCTGGTCTTTCTTGTTGTGTGTGCGTGTTTATGGGTTATCTGTGGCCGTGTGCGTCTCTCTCTCTCGTTCTCTCTCTGTGTGTATGTGTGCACACGCGTGCAGTCCTGTCGTGCGTAATGTTAAATGCGCTCCTGTTAGAAGGTGATGACCGGCGTGCGTCTCCACCGGCATCCCGGTGTCCCAAACCCTAAATGAGCAGAGCCCCAAATTCTCTTCTGTTCAACTTGACAGCGATCATCTATCAATGCTGGCTTATGTGGGCTATCACAGACCCGGTGTTGTTACTGACAGGGAATTCTCAAAGGTGATACAATGTCATCAGGAGGATATCGAACTGGTGTCAAACGGAAGACGGCGAGGGCGCGCGTGTGTGGGCTCTCAATTAATAGACAGCCGGTCACATTGCGGTAAACGGCGAGTGTGTCCCATAAGGTCAAGAACAACAGTGTTTACTCGAGGTTGCCAATATTGTTTTGCCCCCCTTCATCCTCCTCCTCCTCCTCCTCCTTCCGTATATCTGCAGCATTAGTTCATGCTCAGTTCATCGTGGTCTCTGAGGATGCTTCCACATTGGCATTTTACATCCAACGAGATAACAGGATTATCTCCGTTGGCTCCTGTGCGTCTTATTCCTAATCTGTTTTGTGCCATGTTTTTTGACTCCTTATCATGAACACCGCGCTAATGCCTTTACGCATAGCGCATTTATATTCCCCTTGACATTCTGTGAGCTTGTTGCAACATGTTTTGTCCAGTCTAGTTTAGGAAGACGTTCATATATTTACTTTTGTGCGCGCGCGGACGCGCACGCACGCACGCAAACACACACACACACACACACACACACACACACACACACACACACACACACACACACACACACACACACACACTGACCACACACTTAATGAAGGACTTCTCAATATTGCAGGCACGTTGGCCCTCAGTGCCTACCTACATGTTGTCACATGGCCCATAAAGCTATTAAGCATGTGAGATATGATTGTCATTTTTCATGGGTCCAGAGCAATTTGTTTTAATCTCCAGCAACCCTAAACCAGGAAAATGAACAAACTGTGCACGTTCTAAAGTGGAGAATGTGAAGGACACACCAAGGACATGATGCTTTATAAGGGTTTTTAGGACATTTGAGCAGGAATGTATTGAGGGGGTTGTATATCAAAGCCCAGTGTATCTCTTTAATTTCAGTTTCAA